GCTCAATAGTAATCTGAAAAGTGTGTAAAGCTTGACTGATTTTGTTCGGGGTTGGTGTTGCAGCGAAGCACTAATTAGTCTAATCATATATTAGACGAAAATACCCCTGGTTGCGAAATAATTCTAAAGTCTGGTTTTATTGCGGCAAGTTGCGCAAGGGGATATTCAAAACATGGAAGCATAAAATGGGTACACCATTTTTTGTGAGAAAATTTTTTAATCGACAACAAAGAATGAGAAAACGTGTTTTTTGCGATTCAATCTAAGTAATTGGCAGGGACGAAAAACTTATAAGATTTTTAAGTATTTATGGGACCTACAAAATGAGACCACATGTAAAAAGATCCGACTAATAGCAAAAAAGTTATCGCCGAAAACCGAGGCAAACTGCAGGTCTTGGCACGTGTTGGTAATGCGACGACGGTTTCTCGGAGATATTTGAAATTCTGCAAATTTATAGGATTGGTACTTCTAAATAACCACAACAAATTGGAGTAGAGTGGTCAAGTAGTTTGCGGGAATTTCTAATTGTTTATCCCAAGACATCTTTTTAGATAAACCAAAATATGTGTGTAAAAATAAAATAAAAATTAAAAAAAAAAATTTTACCTTGTTTTATAAAGTATCCTCCTCACAAGTATTTCAGTGCGGACCTGTATTTGAACGTGAGGTCTTGGAGCACCGGCATGCCGTCCATATGTGAGGTCTTAAGTCACCTGATTCACGAACCCGTTGTACTACATTAACAAAGGCACGAGGGGTTGGTTGCACTCGATTGGGAAACCGATCCGCATAAACGTGTGCCATTTTTTATTTCGTTTGAGCCACGCAACAGCACCACTATTCACTACCGACTGACACTGACTGTATACAACTGAATGAAATAATTGTAAAAACATCGTTCCAAATTCTTTCGCTTTTTTTGTTTCCGATGCGGTGAACCGATAAGGCGGATTATATCCGTTGTCGCCAAACACGAGCACATAATATTATTATTAAGACAGGGCGGTACTCAAACCTCCAAAGGGCTATAACTTTGTTACTTTAATTTTACCAGAAAAATGGTAAAGGAAAAAAACATTTCTTTTGATCAGATCTACTCACTGTTAAAATAAATGACTCAACTTCGAAGTTACCCTGTATAAACAGTTGAGTCATTTATTTTAACAGTGAGTAGATCTGATCAAAAGAAATGTTTTTTCCTTTAACATTTTTGTGGTAAATATATATATATAAATATAATCGGAAACAAAAAAGCGAAAGAATTTGAAACGCTCATCACGATGTTTTATTCATTTATTTTATTCAGTTGTATTCATTCGATGTGTCAGTCGGTAACGCGTGAGTGGTGTTTCTGCGTGGCTCAAACGAAATAAAAAATGGCACATGTTTACGAAAATGCTGATCTTGTGGACATGATTCTGATTTTACAAAATGCTGCAACGGCAACACGGATTTATGCGGATCGGTTTCCCAATCGAGTGCAACCAACCTCTAGTGCCTTTGTTAATGTAGTACAAAGGGCTCGTGAATCAGGTGACTTAAGTCCTCACACGGGAGGGTATGTGCTCCAAGACCGCGCGATCAAATACAGGTCCGCACTGAAATACTTGTCGGGAGGATATTTTATAAAACAAGGTAACATTTTTTTTAAATTTATTTTTAATTTTTACACACATATTTTGGTTTATCTTCCTTCTACAATCATTATCTGAAAATTAATGACTCAACTTCAAAGTCACCCTGTACATATATATACATATATGGGTTAGTTCAAAGGGCATTTTATAGCAAAATACACTAGTTTACCTTGCCGATATGAATCGAAAACTATTCCGGAAGATAAATGTTATCGTTTTTCTTCTAAACAAAGATTTCGTATTTGTGAGTAACTCGCAACAAAAGATGATAGACACATCCGCTTTGTTTTAAAATGTGTATAGTAACGTATGTATTTTGAATATCATAGCGCATTTGCTCAATTACTCGCAAATACGAAATGTTTGAATTTGCTTTGAAGAAAAAAACATAAACTTTGTTTTTCGCATAAAAATAACATTTATCTTTCGGAATGGTTTGTAATTCATATCGGCAAGGTAAATTAGTGTATTTTGCTGTAAAATGCTCTTTGAACTAATCCTGTATACAATAAACTAGTAGTGATGTCCGGAAAACAGGTGTTTTGGGATAAACAATTAGAAATTCTCAAAAAACTACTTGACCATTATACTCCAATATCGCTGTTTTTATTCAGAAGTATGAATCCTGCGAAATTCGAGAATGTCAAGTAATTGCGTAAAATTATCGTCGCATTACCAAAAAGTGCCATAACTTGCATTTTGCCTCGTTTTTCGGCCATAACATGTTTGGTATTAGTAGGATCTTTTCACGTGTGGTCTCATTCTGTAGGTCTCATATTCGTAAATACCTAAAAATCTTGCATAAAAAGTTTTTTCGTTCCTGTCAACACTTTCGATTGAATCCCAAAAAACACGTTTTCTCATACTTTGTTGTCAATTAAAAAGGTTTCCCACAAAAATTGATGTAACCATTTTATGCGTCCATGTTTAAAATACTCCCTTGAACAACTTGCACCAATAAAACCTGACTTTGCACTTATTTCGGTGAAATTTGCAAATATGATTAGACTATCTGTTAGATGAACGCCTACATTGGAAATATACATTGATGAGATTTGCTTAGCAGTGCGTCTGTAGCCTGTCCAGAAAATTCGTCGATCGATGCATTTCTTCCCGCGTATGTTTCTATTTATCTATGTTGCTATATTGGAATTCGTTTAAGTCACAGAGCTCCTGCACTACACGTGAATATGTACAGCCCTGTATTCCTGTTCTTGTTTCGTATGAACATACATTATGAAAATAATTACGATCTAACATATATAGTTTTTTCCAAAGATTTCCAACATTTTTACTGCTATCAACACCGATTCGAAAACTGAGAAAACAACAACTAGGCCGTAAATCTAAGTTTGACAAAGAAAATCTGAAGAATAACTGTAACATCTATATTGAATTTCAAAAAATAATTGACTATACCTATTGATATTTTTATCACCTGCTGATATAATAGAAGTGCTTGATTGTGTCAATATTTATACCAATTACTTGATTTGTTTAACGGGTAGTTCAGAGTGATAATCCTTAAGCTTAGTACACACTAGTAGACCCCGTTGCGCAATTTCTCTATAGGCAATCTGGAGACGGTCTCAAGACACGATCTATACAGGGTGACTTTGAAGTTGAGTCATTAATTTTCAGATAATGATTGTAGAAGGAAGATAAACCAAAATATGTGTGTAAAAATAAAAAAATTGAAAAAAAATGTTACCTTGTTTTATAAAGCATCCTCCCCACAAGTATTTCAGTGCGGACCTGTATTTTATAATGCGGTCTTGGAGCACCGGCATGTCCTCCCCTGTGAGGTCTTAAAAAGTCACCTGATTCACGAGCCATTTGTACTACATTAACAAAGGCACGAGGGGTTGGTTGCACTCGATTAAGAATAAGAATCATGTCCACAAGTTCAGCATTTTCGTAAACATGTGCCATTGTTTATTTCGTTTGAGCCACGCAACAAACACCACTATAGACTCACGCGTTACCGACTGACACATTGACTGAATACAACTGAATAATAATTGTAGTAAAAACATCGTTTCAAATTCTTTCGCTTTTTTGTTTCCGATGCGATGAACCGTTAAGGCGGATTATATCCGTTGTTGCCAAACACGAGCACATAATATTATTATTGAAACAGGGCGGTACTCAAACTTCTAACTTTGTTACTTTAATTTTACCAGAAAAATGTTAAAGGAAAAAAACATTTCTTTTGATCAGATCTACCCAATGTTAAAATAAATGACTCAACTTCGAAGTCACCCTGTAGATGGTCTATAGACATCCTTCTTTGTTCGTCTAGCGTCCATACGATAATGTGAATCTTTCGGTCTCATGTTCGTTTTCGCCAGCAAAGACATTGTTTTGTGTGGAATGGCTGGGATATGTCTCGGGGTCCCTCAAAATGCCTTTTTTGGTTAACAGAGCTATGAAGTTTTTTATGTTTTAATCTTTAATATTATTACACTAGTTAATTATAAATGCCACGTAATTCTTTTGTTCTCATATAATGAAATATTGCCTTTCTGAGGATTTCTGACACTTTCCATATTTTTTTTTTCAAGTTGCCATTGAACAGATAGAACGCAATGGATTTAAGGAGCAATAATAGGATAAATTCTAGAAGCTCCACTGAGGTAGAAAAATTACCAGCGCCAAATATCGTTTGCGCCCCTCTCACCCTAGACGAAATCCTGAATCCGCCCTTGCTTGTAGATCCACGGGTCTGCGATTTGACAATCCCCAAATCACGAAGTGATATTGTTTTACGTTCATGCCCAACCCTGGCTCAAGAAATAAAAGTGGTCTAACAAGGTTGAAAATTAGTCTCAATTTTGCTGAAAAAATATAGTTTTTTATTTCATACCTATCCCGTTCCCCCGTGGTCATAAAACTATTCAACTAGTCAAACGTCTACATCTCCGCCCCGCCGACTACAGAAATATGATTTGGGGGATATTTTTGAAGAAGTTACAGATTTGGGGGACGTATTAGTGCTTGTTCTAGGGGAATTTTGTTTGATACATCTGGCAACGCTGCATGCAAGCGATCGTAAAAAAATCGTGATGCATCGTGAACCAGAATTCGACAAGGAAGTTTCTAAACCTCACTAATATATTTTAAAAAAGTTAATCTTAGTTCTAGGTAAAATATTTCAACATTGTGGTCACATCAGGGTGTAGTGTAGGTCACAAAAGTTTTATGGGCCTCCCAGTACAGCTTTTCGAAGACACATAATGGGACCAGCATTTGAATGTGGGTTCAGAAAAAAAAGTAAAAATGCAGTAAAAAAAAGAAAACTTATATTGGAAAAACTATAAAGTTCAGAGACCTATCAAGAGGTCAACATGTAAAATATCACTATTCCTGAATATGTAAAATATACACTACTTCATTGTATACTACAGATCCAGAGTTTGTTTTTTCTTCCTCACTAGTAGAATGAATTGTTTCTGGCTGGCACAATCCTCCTTTTTGAAGTGTGTCCTGTAAAGTTTGAAGATCAGATGGAGACTGTAAGCCCTCAACAATTATTGTAAATTCTTCTATCAATGACTTTTTCTGCTGCTCAAAGTCGTTGGTTACTACAGGGACTAAACCTTCCTGAACAATGTAACTCACAACATCTGCTTTTGAATCACTATTTTCAATGATCATACCATCATTGCTATTATGATCATTAGACTCATCTTCTGTACTGCTAGCAACTTCAGATATTTCAACTTCTTTTAAGTAATGTTTCCTTATGTTATACAGATCCTTTTTTGTAAGTAAATTAATTCGTCTCAAATAATTATGATCACCTATGGTTTTATCTACTTCATTCATAATATCTTCAAAAGACATATCTGCAGCTAACTTATTAGCTAACCACTGTTTTTCTTTAACAGATAAGTTCAAATGTTGAATGTCATTTTTGTGACCTACATGAGTTTCTATTACTTTTGCTGCAACATCTCCACTTTCAGATATGTATACTTCAATTTGTGCTGGACAGTAACCATTTATTTTGTGACTTCCTGTCAATTTTAGGCTTCTTTTACCAGTGCCTGTGGGTGCAAAAAAACCAGAACGATGGCAGGTATACAATTTAAACTGCTTGTCCTTTCTTTTTTTGGTTTCACGCACAATAAAAGATGATACTGTTCTTTCTTGATAGCCATCCTTCCATTCCACAAATTTTTCATATGTAGGAAATTTGATTTCCAATGATATTATACTGATTTGATGTTCAACTTCAAAATGTGTCAAAAGCACTTCTCTTTTTGAAGATTCATAAGTGCATAGAGGACATTTTTTCTCCTGGGATTTTTTTTCATACTGTGTATCTAAATCTGACTTGTGTACCTTTCTCATGTGGTATGTCCAATGATACTTTTTATTGAAGTTCTTTCCACATTTGTCACAGTTGTATTTGTAGTTTTCCTTTTTCTTATATTTGTAAGGAGCTAATGTTTCTACATCTGATTGATGCAACTTCCTTACATGCTTAGTGAACGTTGAATGGAGTGTGAATTTCTTACAGCATGCAGAGCAAATGTAAGATTTAGGAGTTTCCATAATTTGTTAAAGAAGTTTTTACATTTTCCTATGACCTTAAGTTTCGAAGTTCACACTTACAGTGAGTTCCGATAATTTGTTAAACCAACTGCTCCTTTATTCTTGATGAAATTGCGTTAAATGATATAAATTCACATTGCTGGGACCTTTTTTAATTCACTTCTTACTTGTTTATAATTTTATTTTGACAGTACATATTGAAAGATTTTGGACTATCTGTCAAGAAAGACATTTGTTATTGGGCGAAAAGAAGGCGCGGCTAAGGACCAACGTGACCAGCGGCTCTTTGTTAATTGATTCATCATTATTTCATGCTTTCTGAGACTAATACCAAATACAAGCAGCACCATATGTACCTGTTTTCAGCTGAAAATTATTTATATGCAAATAGATAAATAGGTACATCAGAAGAAGCAGCTTTGCATTTTTGATCTATTATTTTGAATAACTATAGACCTCTATAAATTAGGAATTAAATAATTACAAAGAAGTTCCAAAAATAGGTTCAGTCGGTAGATATACCTAGTAAAGATTAATGAACGATAAGTTGAAAAAAGTAAAAAAAATACGCTTTTATAGCTAACTGAACTAAAAAGTAGCAAATAATTTTTAGTTACAAAGAGTTTATATTACAGTAGTAGTTGGTCAAACAATCAATCATAATAAATGACCTCAAAATAAAATTATAATTAAATTTAAGCTATTCACACAATAAGAGTAAAAAAGCGTGGGGTGCTTGATATGTTAAATGTTACAATCATTCTATTGGCAACTATCTATGATATAAAATGCGCCCCAAGCTTTTTACTCTGAATTGAATTATTCTGTTAATAACTTAAATTTTATTATAATTTTATTTTGAGGCCATTAATTATGATTGATTGTTCGACGATCTATGTACTTCTGAAATATAAACTCTTTGTAATTAAAAATTATTGTCTACTTTTTAGTTCGGTTATAGCTATAAAAGCGTGTTTATTTTTCATTTTTTAGTTCGATTTAATAAGTAGTTTTTTGTGAACATGTGGTATTGAATGTCTTACGAATCATTTCGTAATCTAATCCTTTCATTTAATACTTCTCTGTTGCATGGGGTTTTTCCTGTTAACTTAGGGTAATCAAGTTCTTCAATCCCAATACCGTCTAAAGATCTTACACCACTAAGTGCTACATAATAAGCTGGTCCAGCAGCAAACAATCGCGAGCCTAGATAAATGTCTGCATAATCGACTGTACAATCTTGCATCTTGTGTACGGTCGAAGCCCTAGTTCGCGCGCTAGCTCTATCTCTCTTACTACCCTACAGAGGATCTATAGAAGAATTTATCAATCCTGGCGGTCCTAATAAGGATAATAGAAAACGTACATACATACATACTATACATATACTATATACTATACAAAAGCGTGTTAAAAACTAAAGTATCACAAGCATTAAACGTTAAATAAATATTACAGATAACTCATACTCATACATCCTAACAAAATCGTTTTGACATTAGTTATATGGAGACAAGAAGGCGTGACTAGCGATCCACGTGGTTGGTGACCTCTTTTTTGATCGGTTAATTATACACTATTTTAAAAACGAGTGATATTCCATGGTGCACAACTTTTGGAATAGTTGTAGTCACCGTTCTTGCCGGTTACGTCATTAAGGCCATCTGAAATAAATAAACAGATCGAGCTTCCGTACCATGGGCAGAACAGTGCCCAGACTAATCTTCAGCGCATCTGCTACTCTCTCCAGTACGCATGAAGTGGATAGCAGGGGACCGCTCTTTTCATTCTCTTCCTGGAAATACTCCAATAAGGTTAGCACGAGCTGTCGGCCTTCTCAATTAATCGTATTTCCGGGCATTATACAATTTTATATTTCATTATCATAACTACGAAACTAGACGCAGTATAGATTTTCATTGTAATAGTAGCATAACTAGTAAATTTATATTTCAAAAGGGAGTATTTGAATTTAGTAAATTGAACAATGATATTAAACAGAGTTCGAATTTAAAATTGTTGGTGAAATTAAAAAATCACTTTATGAATAATCAAAATACATAGTAATTTTAATTTTAATAGACAAGAATGTAATATTACAGAAAATGGATTGAAGAAAAATATGTAACCGAATCATTACACAAAATTGACTTTGTAGCATTAATGCTAAATAATCTATAATAAATCTTCAACAACAACAACAACACAGGACAACTCGAATTGCACGCCGACGTCAAGTAAGTTGTCACTCTGACAAATATGATTGAAATGCACTCATAGGTAACGACAAAGTTTTCGAGACGGAGACAAAACTAAAAAACGTATGTGTTTGAGCTTACCGAGCAAACGTTCACACACAGGGGTAGATTGCATGTGTATGTATGAGGGAGATGGAGATATATAAAGAATCACGATACAAATACACTGAAGATAGGATATTGCGCATGTGGGCGCAGCGTCGTGACGTCACCCGGAGAGTTATCGGCTCGTGGTTACCAGCCGCAGGATTGTCGTAACGTTACTGCAGTTCACGTATATCATGGTGCGATTTGTTGGTGTTTTTTGGTGGTTTTGTGACTTGTATTAGTTACACATACCTTATATACCCTGTGTGGTTGATAATTGATTAAAATGCGGTGTGCGGTTGTAGGATGTAATTCCGACAATCAATCTAAACGGAATATTTCCAAAGACATGAAGTTCCACAGTTTCCCTCAAGACCCAAACTTTAGGAAAGAAATGGCTACATCTCACAAAAAGATAAGCAAGTCAAAGCGCTAGGGTTTTGCTAGAAAATGCTCTAGAGGATCTGAAACGACGGTTCAGTGTCCAATACCTGTTATACGTCTTAATCCAGATGTGATAGAAAACTTTTTCGGAGTAATTAGGGCAAAAGATGGTCTTCATGACCATACAAGTCCTCTACAGTTTAAGTATAGAATAAGGTCATATATCTTGGGGCGAAACGAAGGCGCATACTCAGAGTACCTATTGCAGCGTATAGTCAGAGGATACTCCAGACATTCCACTAACCGCATCAATAACGAGAATAAACTGAATGCACCTGAAGTATCAGCTGACTATACCGTGCAAGTTTTAGTGGAAGAAATAGACGAGCTCAAGTATGACGGGCTGGAAAATTTGACCGGCTTTGTTTGCAATAAATTGCAGTGTGAGAGGTTGAAAAGTTCCTCTAATGAAACTTATTCATGGATAGACCATCTTAGTCAGGGTGGATTATCGAAACCTTCCGCAACTTTCATGAATCAAATTGAGAAGCTGAACAAGGTATTCACCACATTCAATGGGGTCGGAATAGTGACAAAAAAGCAAAATTTTATAGGTGCACTTCTGTTGAAGAGCAGCAACATTGACTGCCCTGAAAAAGCTAAAAAAACTGTTTTTCAGGTCGATGATATTCTTCCGGATCAAAGAACTGAATAAAAGTTTGAAAGACCAGAAAAAACGTAAAACTAAGTCAATTCCGTTTATTGATATACCACCACCTTACTACCTTCTTTTCGAGTTGCGTACATTTTCACACTTACATGTACTTAGGATGTTCTGTGGAATAAGGATAAATGTTGTACAGTATTATGACATGAACATGTTAATCCTGCTCCACAGAACATAATAAAATATAGGTAATGTATAAAAATGGAGTTATCTTGTTTTTACAGTGAAGAGACGATACGCTCCATTGTGGAGCTAGAAGCCGTTTAAGCTATAGCCTGTGAAATAGGAATTACAGGGTTGAAATCTTTTATTAAAATCCACCACTTTGTTTTTTATAAAATTTCAATGCCGCTAGTGTCACTCGCACCGCTAAGACGAATCCAACGGCACCTCATATGTGAAAATCCGTCCAGCCGTTTGACCTGTAGGTGAAAATATGCGCGTGATCCATATCAACCCAAATGATAATCACTCTCCGCGTGACGTCATGCGCGCTGGCGGACGAAAATCGAATAGCGGAGCATACGGCGCTGATAAAGTATAAAGGGATACAAGTAGTCTTACTTTGACCCGCCAACGGTGACTACAACTATAGTTGCCAGACCTTTGCATATTTCATGCTTTCTGGGTCTCACACGAGGGTCATCCGATATTTACGTGTTCTCAACCCAATAATTTACATGCAAATAGGAGCAATACGTACATCAGAAGAAGCAGCTTTGTATTTTTGATAATTTATTTTCAATAACTATAGATCTGTATAAATCATGAATCCAAGAAATCACAACAAAAATAAGTGTAAAATATATAATAAAAGTACAGTAGGTATAGTACAAAGTAAAAACTAACTTATCACAAGCATCAAATGTAGAACAAATATAGTACAGATAACCAACAAACCCTAACAATTAAATTGTGTTTGACACCAGCACGTTTTCTGTTACTTTTAACAGTTTCAATAAAAAAGGCTTATAATGCTAAAAATAAGAAACAAATACCACCTTTCCACATTTTGTTGCTAGGCCTAATTACGGTAGAAAGAGAAGTTCATTCACTGGGATAATTTTATGTTTTCGCAATAAAGCTCATTGTTTCAGTTCTAGTCCAGAAAAAGTGCGTTAGTACGTATTGTTCAAATGATTTTATATTTAGATAACAAAGTATCGGTAAAATATGAGATACCGTCGCGTCATTTATGAGAATTTGTCACAGCTATCTTTCTCCTCTCCACAAAAATTGGAAATCTACTTTTAATAGATTAGTGTCTCATAGATGGCGCTGTAGCCAACTATAGGCAGCGAGATTTATTTTCGTTCAATGTGTTCGAGAGAGAGAGAGAGGCGTGCAACACCATACAACACTTATGTTACAGAGGGAGTGTGCCGAATGAGCATGAGACTAAGGGCGTGGGAGGTGGGTTATGGGCTCGTCGAGCGCAGCTGTAATTTGCCGCGTTGCTATATGTTACACCATCTTCTTACCATTTTCTTGAATTATGATGCATTTCTGAATGGCGCATTCACTTTTAACGGTTCTCCGATTTTAGGTGGAACTGAAAGTCAGGATCGCAGCAAATTCTCTCAAAAAGTATTGCCGAATGCAGCGTGTAGCCTTTAGTCTATTGAGCAACTGAGTGGTATTCAACAGCAACAGCGGGCAGTTTTCGCGGCAGTTCTTTGTCTTTGACATGTATACAGTGTAGATGTTCTGCCAATAGCAAGCAAGCATGACAAATGCATAACACATTCGCACAGAATCCAGTATATCGTAATGGCACATTAACTTTGAGGGTATTGAAGGATTCTAATTTACTGGTATATATCTTCGGCAACGCATCCACAACAAGTTTAGTATAAATGTCACTGTGCGAACCCTCAGTGGTTAAATGAATCATGTCATATTCCGTACAAATTCCTGTACAAGAGAATTTCAAATCAAAAAGGATTTCGATAATACATCATACACAACAGCCGTATTGGAAACCTATTTACTTAGGACGGCGTGAACGAAAATTTTAAATAACGGGTTTGTTGCGAAGTAGTTAACGAGAGTGGTTGGCATACCGGTATTCAACTCATTATTGTGTACCTTGTACATTATATTGTCAAAACTCCTAGTCACAAAAAATATCTAGATATATGAACAACAGCTCTCAGTATGGTCCCAACTTTTACAAGATTTACACCCGATTCATCATTGCCAACATGACAGACTAATACAAAGATGTCACTTGCTGATCTGCTATTCACCTCAGTAGACGTCAAAACGTAATGGATACTCGTGAAATAGGGTTTAGCTACAGTGCCATCTAACTAACCTTTTCAAAGCAGATGTTTTATTATTGCGGGCAGAAGAAAGTCAGCTGAGACAAATTCTCATAGACTACAGTATCACATTCCATCTCGGATAAATTTTCGGACACGCGGATATAGTATTAGGTTGGCTATATTCAGGTAGGCAATGTTAACAATGACTTCGCCATTTCATCCGACATATTTAGGACCCATAGAGTTTTGTGAATTTTTTTTGTTTTATTTTTTTTTTAAGTATATCGTATTACAGTACCGTTTCCTATTCAAAAAGAATACCCGAAGGTTAGACTTATGATGACCTGCACACATAAAACATAAAAACTTAGTTCAGTAATTGACTTTTGCATTTGACAAATCTCCTCTGAATTTTCCGTAGAGTTGTAATATAGCAATTCTGAATAATAATTTCAATTCTTTTTCGATGATGTATCGAATTTTGGCTAGTATTCCCGTTCATAACAGAAATATGCTCATCAATGACAGAAGACTTGGTATAGTGTATATATATATATATATATATATATATATAACAGAAACTGCTAAAAACGCTTTTAATCTCGATTTAAATAACTTAGCAAATGCATAGTGTTGCTCGGCTGAGACGTTTTTTATAATAAATACTTTTCTTTTTTAAGTCTGTGGTGCTGTTTTACCGCAAACTGAGTTATCATTCCAAGTTGTTTCTGAAAAGGAGAGTCCCAACCGTCAGGACACCCTGTACAGTATAGGTTTCGATGTATCTGCAATTTATATCTCACGAATCCACAAACATTATTACATACTTGCAATTTTTCAAAATCATCGAAACATTCTTAGACGGAAAATATGTAACTTATGCGCCTTACACCATATCAAGATGGAAAATATCGTGATCATCCTGCTTGTACACCTTCGCCTGTTGTGCTTCATCGTTCTCTTTTGAATGACAGTCCTTTGATTCTCCCTCCTTCTTCTCTTCCACTTCAGACGCTTCACTTTCGCTATGCCTTCGCTCTAAAGCCCTTTTCTTTTTTTGTGCCTTACGCTGATTTTTCTTTTTTTGACCCAGAATGCTCGAGTTGGATCTAGAACAAAGTTTAAGTGTGAAATCTAAATTTAGTAGCACCTATACATACGGGGTGCTACAGATCGCAGTCAGAGAAATTGAAAGGCCAGATTGAGCACGCTAGAGTATACGAGAGATGTCTTTTAAGTTTTGCAAATGGAAATAAAACAACACGGTAGGTAGTTTTAAATGACTTTATTGTTTTTCGAAGTATTCTCCACAAAGATTAATACACATCTGCATGCGCTCGAACCAAGTTTCGAAGCACTTATTCCACTCGTTTGTTGGCAGATCCAAAACGGCATTTTTGAATGCGTCAACTGCTTCTTCTGGTGACTGGAACCTTTGACCACGCAGTCTGTTTTTAATTTTCGGGAAAGTAAAGAAATCGTTAGGACTTAGATCGGGACTATATGGAGGATGGTCCAATAATTCCACGTTTTCTTCCGTTAAATACTGCCTTGTTTTTTAGGGTGTGTGCGAGCTTGCATTGTCTTGGTGGAGCATGATTCTTCTTTCGAGGTTGATTTTTCGAAGCTCGGTCATGACTTTTGGCAAACTAATGGTGGTATACCTATCCGCAGTAACGGTCCTTTGCTCATTAAGAGGAATTGTTGCAATATGACCCACTTTTGACACAAATGTCGCGACCATCTTTTTCGAAACACTTCGAGAACGGATGACTTGTTGGCTTTTCTTCACCTTGGAACACCCAAACAGCCGACTGTCGTTTATTTTCTAGTTCATAACAGTAAATCCACGATTCATCACCACTAACAATGCTGTACACATTTTTTGAGTTTCCGGAATTGAAAGGGTCAAGCGTTTTTTGACACCAATTAACCCTGGCTGCTTTCTGCTCTTCATTCAACAGGTGGGGTATCCAACGAGAAACTAATTTTCTTACTCCTAATTCTTCATGTAAATTTTTTTGAATTGAGGTCTTTGAGATCTTCAAGGACGCCTCAATCTCGCGATATGTCACATGTCTATCTTCAATGATGAGTCTGCGCACAGCATCGACGTTTTCCTGAGTGACTGCCGTTTTTGGTGCACCCATCCTGGGATCGTCGCTAAGACTCACCCGTCCACGTTTGACTTCTCCATACCAACGGGAAATTGTCGACTGATGTGGCACTTCGTTGCCGAAAACAGACAGTAACTCAGCAAGGCATTCTTGTTGCGATAATTGTCTCTGAAAGATTTAATAAATTATGGCGCGAAAATGTTCTCGGTTGAGTTCCATTTTTCTAATGACTTGGTAACACTTAAAAAATTCACTGTAGTGAGAACACTGCACGTATTGTTGTGAAACTTTAAATTTAAGTTTACTAAAGAGTGAGGTTAAGATTCAGTACTGATGTTCGATCCGCGCGGCCTACTATGTTTCTATAATGAAAAACTTAAAAGACATCCCTCCTATATTGATATTTATTTCACATAAGGCACGTGCGCCAAAGCCAATAATAGGAAATACTTAAAACCAAGCTAACATAAAAAAACAACTAATGTTATATTGAAATAAGCAATTGAATAACAAAAAAATAATAATAATAAAAATTGTCGAAAAACTTACATGTCAAATGTGATCTGCAAAATTGATTTGTCAACAAGCGAGAGAGGAGAGAAATTAATTTCATTATTAAGTTAAAATTGTTACAAATGGTTGAAACAGGAGAATGAGTCAAAATATATAGTTAAATAATGATGCAAACTCATCAGAGAACCCCAGAAAAGTAAGCTTTTTTGTAGGATGCTTAATCTACTCTATAAAATCCCTTTTCTATGTCCATAACATTGACTTGTCCCCTATCATCTAAAGTTTCGTAAATAGTTTGTGGCACAGAATAAGAAAATGTTCACGTAAACGTGGATCCGGAAACGACGTTTCCATTATCTTAACTTGTTCGTCTTTGATGGTTCAACTTGAATTTCTCGAAAACAAATATTGAGCGGACTTTTGGTAGATAGATATATATACAGAGTGTCCCACCTTCACTCCCCACCCAAATATTTGGAAGACTACGCATCAAACAAACAAACTTTCAAGAAGTTGTAGGATTTCGACCTAGACTATTTTACGCCCGAGTATGACCTTGACTAAGACCATCTCAATGACCTTCACGGCCATTACAAAGCGGAATCAAGAATTCAAAGCAATTTGCTTATTCGACAGCACAGTTGTGAGCTTTGTGGAGGTCACCCACAGGTGATTTTGATCATGAGCTTGACCATCACCTGCAATGGTGACTTCTGCCAGAGCAAATTGTTTTCGAAGTACATATTTAGTTGAACTTTAATTATGGCCATCGTCATGGTCATATTCGGACGTGGAATTCCCGCCTCTTATCAATTCCGGTATGTGAAAATATTCGTTTGACCTTGGTGAAGGCCACGGTCAAGGTCAGCATCATTTTATCCCTTCGAAACCCTAAATCTGTTGTTTTAAACCCTTACTTTTGGACGCGGGATTACAGTACACAGCCCAACTAGCAAAGTAGTGCTAAAAGCTTTTGGTAAACGAACTGTTCAGCAGTAAAAGCTCTCTATTGTTGTTGGCTGAACACCAAAATGCTGGCTTAATGTTGTGTGGAATGCAAATTTGCTTTCTGCATCATACTTGGTCTAAAATGAGGTGTTTAAAGTATTCTTATAGCATAGTTATACAACACCTTATAGGACAAATTTTGAGCGCTTGCATAAACGTTTATACAACTATTTTATACGGCATTTTTGCGTGGTTGTGAAAATAGTGTTGTGGCATACATGGTAATGTTTATTCAACAAACCCGAACCTTGTTGTTTTGGTGTGCACATTTACTACTTTAGCCTACAAATTTCTCCCAACGGAAGCACTTATACAACTGTCATTTAGTAACTGTTAAAGGCTGTACATCTGCAACAATATTACAACTTTTATAGCACAAAATTGCTGCGCTGGGCAGACATTTGTTGCTAAATATGTTGGTTTACAACTCCACCATAACCTAACTTTCTGTTGTCATCTTTTTAGTTAAAATGCCATAACCAATATTTTAAGACATGCATATTGGTTTAAAAGGTTTTATCAACTGTTCAAACAGGAGATATAGATCTGGTAGAAATTCTGGGTAAATCATTCGACTCTGTCCGTATTCCATTTTAGAGATTTTTCAAATTGTTGATGATGTGATTATACATAACCACCCGCCATATTGGGCAAAAATATATTCCTCTATTGAAAATTAATTAACCACGTTTCAGTTCGACATTACAGATATAAAGTGGTAAACATTAGTGTAATTGTCTAAATAAAGGATTTGTGGAAGATTTAACGCAGATAAGTTCAGTTTTTCATCTTAAAAATCTAAACAAACTTTTGATCATTATTAAAATATGAATCAAATACGAAGCCCGTACAAATTGCGTAACTACTTTGCACGACAATCACAATAAAATTTGCTGCGCAAGTAATTCAATAGCCATATATCACCGTGTAGAAGTTTATCATATACCTTTGTATGAAATTCACAATGACTGATATGTAAGTAAACAAGATGACTGTAATGTGTTAGTTATATATTCTTCACTTCGTCTATACAATACATAAGAAATAGTTTGGTTGCAATACAGTACAATCATGTAACAGAATAGTTGTATAGTTGACAAAAACTGAATCTTGCACCGACGCAAATGTTCTATAGCGGCTGCAAGAGGTTTAGACTTTTGTTGAATAACTGTTACCTGCAGCCCTTTATACAACCTCTTAAATGACTGAAGTGTCCTATTAGGTGTACCCATTTCGGTTGTATAGCTGTTCTAAGAGCATTTTGCCAATGTTCTTACAGCATACAATGCTGTGTAAGGAAGACTGTATAATCGTTATTGCAACTCTAATAGGAGTGATAATTGTTAGTTGGGAGGGTGTTTCCAAAGTTGAGTAATTTATTTTAACAGCTTGTAGAACTCGTCAAAAGAAGCTGATATATCAAAAATTACCTATATAAAAGTTGCATAATAAGACAGGCAGTTTACATTATTAAACATTATTTTAGAAAAATCATCAAGTTAAATAGATACCGTTTTCACAAAACTGTTCAAAAATGTCCCCATTTGTTCGATTCACGCAAAATCTTGCTCGGCGAATCCACGACTCTTTACGAGCTTCGAAAATAAAATCCTGGTGTCCACGAATTAAATCACAAGCATTTTAAGTGCGCTGTTGAAGTTCTTCCAGAGTGTTTACTGCTCCATAATGATACACCAACTCTTTCAAATAGCCACACAGAACAAAATCGCAAGGCGTTAATTCCGGAGAGCGAGCGGGCCAACCAATGGGTCCGTTGCACTCTATCCATCTACGCGTAAACTCATTATTTGGATGTTCATGAACTTCTCGTCCAAAATGTGGTGTAGCCCCATCACGTAGGAAGCACATTTTCTGTTTCGCATTAAGAGGAACATCTTCTAATAATTGTGACAGATTGTGTCGAAGAAAATCTAAATAAATTTCACCGGTCAGTCGAGGTGGAGAAAAGTAGGGTCTAATAAGCATGCCATTTAGCACGCCAGCCCAACCATTCAATGAAAATTTATGTTGAAAATGAGTTATTTTTACAGCATGCGGATTTTCTACTGCCAAAACATGATTGTTATGGAAATTGTGCATTCCATTTCGTGTAAATGTGGCCTCGTCCTTACACAAAATTAATTTCATAAAATCTTTAACTTCTGAAAGCCACTGGCAAAATGCAACTCTTCTAGGATGATCTTCAGGTTGTAACGCTTGTACCCCTTGATAATGATAAGGATAATACTGTTCTTGTCGTATTGTCACTTTACTATGAGAAACTTCAACTTGAGCTGCTATGACTCTGGTACTCATTGTTGGGTCGTATTCGACCATTTCTAAAATGTCTTCCTCAATTTGTAACATTTCAGGTTGAGCAGGTCTTCCAGAGTGATCTCCTCGTTGTTCTTTTAAATATCCTGTGTCACGAAGTCTAACAACTAAATTTACAAACAACCCGTGGGGTTGGATGATTTCTTAAAGGAAACCTTTCCGCATACTACCTGCATACTGCTCCATTTTGTTAGCATTCTTCATATGTTAGTATTGTCCAATAGTTCATAGTTTTCGTAAACATGGGCCACTTTTCGCACAAAATAATCAGACAAATAAAAGACAACTGTTCGAACCAAAGACTTGTACTGAAAACCATACAATAACACAAAAAGTTTGCCAAATTTAGATAAACTATATGAGTAGTGAAAAAAAAAACGTTACGATTTTACAAGGCAGTGGTTGAGAATATCAAAAAGTCTGTATAATAACATTCTTATTCTTTAAATGTTTAATCTTTTACTATTTCTTTTATTATGCCACTATTATATAGGTGATTTTTGGTATATCAACTTCTTTTGACGAGTCCTACAAACAGTTAAAATAAATGACTCAACTTTGAAAACACCCTATATATGGTTGGCAATCCTCGGGTAGAATACGTTAATCAATGATTCAACGGAAAAGCACTACGCCACTAGTTTTCTATCTTTAATCCAGTCGATCCTACTGCCTAAACTACTATCCTAAAACTATTCTTTTTTGTTGATACTAAACCTGGACATAAAAACTCACAAGGCTCGCTGACTTTCTCTGCCTTTTCTGAGAAAGGTAGGTAATGAAATTTTGAAATGCTCTACAATAACGCCAGTTCCCAAAAAAAAACAATTTTTATAAAATGCAGCAATATGAGACTAGTAAATGTGTGACCAGATATTGAAAATTATTGGAGTCCATAGTACATGAAAGATCCATAGACTCAGAAGAAGTTATCATAGCAGTATTTTTGGATACCAAGAGGGCATTCGAAACAAATGATAGTGATATTTTGTTATGTAAATTGAAGGCATGCAGTATATCAGGAAGTGTTTTAGACTGGTTTAAAAGTCATTTGTCTAAGAGGATGCAAGTTGCAAAAATTAATATCATTATTTCATCAAACATTGAAAATACGTTACGTGCCACAGGGCGGAATCCTAGGACCACTTCTCTAATGTTATCACTATAAACAATGTACTATTACTTAAAAGTGTATACCTGAAAAGCTGTCTGACAACGACATCATTGAACCTAACAGTTTTCTTGAGGCTAGTAGACACTTCAGTCTCACCATCCTCAGGTATTCCTGATTCAAGATCTAGACTATGATGACAATTTTCGAACGAAGACGAGCATACAATGTCATCTAAACTTGACTCGGAAATACTGCGGCCAACTGGAGGGAAACGTCTAATAGATAGTCGTTTTAAAATACCTGCAAAAATAATCTATGTTATCAAAGGATACCTTATTTCTTTGTCAAAAGATCCAAGAGATGGGAATTAATGGTGATTCAAAAACAGCGGCAATAGTTATTATAGTAGTAGAAGTAAACACAGTTAGATTTTACAATGCATACATACATTTATGAAAAAGTAGCAGTAACGAATTTGCATCCATACAGGGTGGACACAATTTGGAGCATCCACATAGGAAGTTACAGACTTCTTATGATAGACAGGTTCGGCGGTTACAAATTAGAAATACCGCATACGCATATGTTAACGATAATCAATTTTAAAATTTTTTTAATGTCAAAATAGTGTTGAACTTAAAATGGTTACATATGCGGTATTTGTGATTGTCAACACCGTCTAGTGGAATCTGGAGACGGGTTACCAGACATAATTTTGTACCAACCCAGAAAATTCCAAACTAAGCTGTTGAGAATATATATAAAATTTTTCGCGGAATCGCTTTCGTTTAAGAAAGCACTGGCGCTGTGTAGCCTCATTATTAAAAATGTCTCATCATTTATATACATAGCTCCTGGGGTCAAAATTTAGTCATGAACTCTCTTGGTTGGTGTTGACCGCCCTAAATTTTTTGTACTTATTTATCGCACTCACGAAATTTTCAACTAAATTTTGGTGTAGATTGTTTTTAACAATTTGGACTGCTGGTTGAAGATATACCACAGAACTTTATATCTCTAGCCTTATTTGAGAAATGGATATTGTGGAAATTTACGACATTCTGTATCTCATGCAGATAATACTTTAGGAACTATGATTATAGTAACTTCTAATCTCATTTTCAAAGTATGTACAAACATGGCAAATAAAATTTTTGATTTTCCATATCTCTATACAAAATAAAACCTACAAGTTCTGCTGCTACTCCCCAGTAACAATAGTATCTCGATATTATAACTAATTATATTTAATTTGTTTCTGAATTTGGAGGCAACCTATTTTTTAAGGAAAGGTCAGTTACTATTGCAACACAGCAGTCATTAGTCTGTGTAGCATATATATGCCATTACCTGGTTAGCATATTGACAATACTATTTTTAACAACACCTACTTGCTTATTTGTTTCAATTTTGTACAAAACGAACGATTTGAAATTGTATTCATTCATCACATGCATCCAAGAACATGTTTTGGAGGAATATACAGGGTGACTTCGAAGTTGAGTCATTTATTTTAACAGTGAGTAGATCTGATCAAAAGAAATGTTTTTTTCCTTTACCATTTTCCTGGTAAAATTAAAGTAACAAAGTTATAGCCCTTTGGAAGTTTGAGTACCGCCCTGTCTCAATAACAATATTATGTGGTCGTGTTTGGCGACAATGGATATAATCCGCCGTATCGGTTCATCGCATCGGAAACAAAAAAGCGAAAGAATTTGGAACGATGTTTTTACAGGTATCTCATTCATTTGTATACAGTTAGTGTCAGTGAATAGTGGTATGTGTTGCGTGGCTCAAACGAAATAAAAAATGGCACATGTTTATGCGGATCGGTTTCCCAATCGAGTGCAACCAACCCCTCGTGCCTTTGTTAATGTAGTACAACGGGCTTGTGAATCAGGTGACTTAAGACCTCACAGGGGACCTCACGATCAAATACAGGTCCGCACTGAAATACTTGTCGGGAGGATACTTTATAAAACAAGGTAAAAGTTTTTTTTTATTTTTTTTTTATTTTTACACACATATTTTGGTTTATCTTCCTTCTACAATCATTATCTGAAAATTAATGACTCAACTTCAAAGTCACCCTGTATATATATATATATATATATATATATATATATATATATATATAATATTGGAGTATGAATGTGTTCTCAGTGATTTATTATTTAATCTGAGAATTGCATTGGCTACACTATATCTTGAATTTTTTTTTGTAACCACAAATATATCTTTTGTTGTTATTTGTTGAAATAACCCTTGGAGGTTTGACCTATACTTGAGGAGTGACGATTTTTCTGCAAGATATGCTTTCATCTTGTTGTATTTATAAAATATAGGATAAAATATTGTCCCGAGATTTTCCAGGAATTTGAGTCGAATCGGGGACAACAAAATTATGTTCTGGCTTTTTCGTCACTTTTGAGACTAAGTTTAAGTAATAGACCAGTTAAATAGCCGAAATTGCCGCAAAAGTGAAAACATAGCCGCAAAGTTATGTCCGCTGGCGTAATGGTGTAATAAAGGCTTGCGAATATTGTCGTAACAGTTTGGTTTTTCGGAAACCAGCCGTTTTTTGCAAAACAGCGAAAAACCCAAAAAACCTCTTTTTCGCTGAAACGGCTGACGATATCTGAGATTTTTTTACACGTAGGTTTTTCTAATTATTGGGCCATCAAAAAAGGTCTCTGCAAATTTTTGTCTAAATTGCTTAATTTTCGCGCTACAGCTTGCTGATAGCTTGTAGGCGAGGGGCTTGCGGGGACAATGGCGCGCGTACACATATCACCAGCCGCCGCACCGTTGACGCGGACGATCCTCTTTTAATATTTGGACGTCCTCAGTGTCTCACTCTCAGTGATAGGCCAGTCGATTTCGAATAATAGGCTCGTTTGTAGTTGTGGCGTTCACCGACGTATGCATATTAATGAATTTTTGAAATTTATGCGTTTAAGTAGAGTACAAGATGCAGTAATTTTTCTTCATCCGCTTACCGATTGACTGATAAGTGAGGTATAGTATTTTCATTTAGAATTGGAACAACGATAAAAAACCTAGAGCTGCAAAAAAGGTGTGAACGTGTATATAAATGAGTGGCAATGATAAGAATACATTACAGGATGTAGAAGCCAATGAGTCATCATAAGACTCGTTTTCGAGGCTCCACGTTTTTTCATAATCATCCTCGCAAATCAGTTTGATGACCTGTAGTTCTTTATCTACGATCATGATAAGAGATTTAGCAGTTCTTGAGCCGCGTCTATACGTTGGGCTAACATATGCCAACGCAAATGTGACAATGGCCGATGGTGATGAGCATTTGACGATGTATTCTCTGCACACTCGCTGCGGCAACCAATAATAATGATCATTGGTCTAGCCCTAGATTCAGTGTACCGGTGTACGTTACCTTGACGTAAAGACACGACAGTACTTATCTGCACAGGACTTCACACCTTTTTTGTACAGTTCAGAGATTTTTTGCGTTTCCAATTATTGATAACGGAAGGACTATAAGTATGTTTGTGCACATTCCAGAGTTGAGTTAATTGAACACAAACATAATAAAAAAATTGTCATCCTATTAAAATCGAAAATACACAAAATTGGTGCATCTTCCGACAAATGGTTTGTCCATAATTTCTTGTCCCCAATGAAATATACGGAAAAATATTTAACAATTCTAAAATGTACACACACTTACCTCACTTATCCAGTCAATCGACAAGCAACTGAAGACAAATTACTCCACTTACTTAAATGCATAAACTTCAAAAATTAGTTCATTAGGAAAAGTCGGTGAACGCCAAACTGACACGCGAGCTCAGAGTTCGAAATTCTAGTTGGACTATTACTGAATAACCCCCACCATGTAGTAAGAGATCGTCTGCGTCGTCAAAGCGTGGACGTGGACGGTGCGGCGGCAGTTTGGTGGTATGCAGGAATGCAGGTACGCGCGACCTTGCTCGCGCAAGCCCCTCACCAACAAACTATCAGCAGGCTGCATCGCGAAAACCACGCATTTTAGCAGAAAATTTGCAAGACCTTTTTTGATAGCCCAAAAATTAGAAAAATTGTGTAAACGTGTAAAAAAATCCCAGATATCCTCAGCCGCTTCAGCGAAAAATAGGTTTTTTTGGGTTTTTCGCTGGTTTACAAAAAACGGCTGGTTTCCGGAAAATCAAATTCATACAACAATATTCACAAGCCTTTATTACACCATTATGCCAGCGAAAATAACTTAATGGCTATGTTATCACTTTTGCGGCAATTTCGGCTATTTAACTGGACTATAACAAGCAGTTTTTTTTAACATGGGGCACCTAGTGCCGAAGAATATATGATGGGCAAGACGAACAAATGACCTTCCTAAACGAGATATGAATATACCTTTTCACTACTAACACTATACAGGGTGTCCCATTTTACTCTACCTGCCTAAATAGTTCGAAAACTGCGAATTCTGAAACAAAATTTTCAAATAAAATTTGTAGGATTCATGGTGATCCTCTTAAAGTGAATATTTTCAAATTGACCCCCCTTTTTTCACATCGGCATTGAATACGACAGGAAATCTTACGTCCGAATATCACCTTGGTTATTAACTTGACCTTGGTCCCCAAAGCCATTTCAGGGTCAGATCAAGACGTCGAATACAACTTGTTTCGATAGCACAGATGTGTTTTGTGGGGGGTGACCCAAAGGCAACCTTGACCATTACCTTGCTCTTCAAGATCAAGTCGAAACTTCCAAAGGAAATCTCTCATTTTTATACTGCAGATGGGAAAAGCAGTAAATTTTAGGTCAAAATGTAACCATGTCTTCAAATATCATTCAACTCTGACACGACCTTGACTTCAGAGCAAGAGCCACACTCGGACGCAAAATGTCCCTGCTTTTTTCATTTCTAATCTTAAAGTGAGAGGCTTCCTTTGGAAACTTTGACTTGAAGGTCAAGATCAAGGTCATATTTGGATGATCCCCACAACTCTGCTGTCGGACATTTCAACGTCTTGACTAGACTTTGAAATGGCCTTGAAGGAAATGGTCAAGGTCATGTTTCTTGGTCATATTCGGATTTACAATTTCCTCCTCTCTTCAATTCCGAAGTAAAAAAAGGGGGTTCTATTTACGAATGGCCACTTGATCTTCAAATGACCTTAAACATCGTGGTCAAGGTCATTGTTAAGGTGACCTTCACTCTGCCACTTCAAAACCCTACAAGATTTGTTCAATACTTTCTCCGAGATGCGTAGTTTTCGATATATTTAGGTGAAAAGTTTAAAATAGGACACCCTGGATATCACAAAATATTCGATTTTACGTGACGTTTCTAACTCATTTTACAAATACTTCAAAAAATATCTAGTTACCTGGTGTCAAACTGACAAACTCAAATTAATAAATGCAACAGACAGCCGATTTTGTTTTGGAATGACCAATCCAAGGAGGGTAAGGTGCATATGTTTTCTTTTTGTTAACATTGAAAGCTGCCTTTCAGCATTATGTCGATTGAAGCAGAACTACATTATTTGGCAACTGTTCTGAAGTATTACGATATATAAAGTTCAGTTCTCAAAATGACACAATGAAATTGGCAAGATATTTTCAAGTGACATTAGGCATGTTCTGTCAATGAATTTCCGATGATTGTCGACAGTTGAGAACAGCTAAAAAATTCAGTTTAACGCATAGAGTTGAGCGACACGTTTTGACAATTCGTTTGGACAACCTAGTCTAATGGTTGAAAATTGTTTGAAAATCATTACTAAAACATGGCTACTATTTATTACTAGATGTTTTTTTGTTTCTATTATTTACCTATGCTACTTTTCAATAAGGTGCTGCAATCAATAATGGCGATTTATTATATTAGTAGTGAAAGAAGAATAGTTGTGATTGTGACCAATGAATATCACTACTTACAAGTTTGTTGTAGACTGATTCTAACTAAGTGTTTATGATAGCAGCTTGATAAGCTCAATTAAATGCACAATTAACAATAACAAACTTTTATTAGTTTAACTAGCATGCATATTGGTTAACCTTTATTTTTTCTAGGACTGTAGCTGCTGCAACTCAGCTCATCGCCACTGGATTCACATGAAGTACCAGCAATGTCAATGGCCCTTGCATGGTAGTCGTGATCATCTATACTGCCTGCATTGTGGATCGATGGGTTAGATGCAAACAACTCCTTTGATTCCTCAAGATTTCTAGACCTTTTGACTTCCTTTTCTGAATTGCCAGTCAGATTAATATTCTCACTGTGCATGAAGCAATCCTATTAATCAATATATCAATCCATATTTGTGAAAATTAACACTATTGATCACCATATTGCACAACAATATATAGAATACAATTGAAAGCCGTGCCTGAGCAAAACTAAGCAAACATCTTTATGTGTCAGAGTTACCACCACGGGCGCCTGCAGGGATTTTTCTCAGTGGGGCCGATTATAATTGGAAAGAGATAATATTTGTGAAAGTGTACCTGCCTCCAACACGTTTTACTTCATACGCCACTGGACGAGGACGTATTGTAATCGTGAAAAATTTCGAAAATGAGATATTGTTTTTTTGGATCTTATATATGTACATCACAAAAAACCATGTCACTCATTTTCCATTGGACTGTCTATCTGTCCGTTAGTCCTTTTATAGAAGACTGAAGTTCTGAGAAGAGGCACAGCAACTATTAGGTATCTATATATCATACAAGATGTCACTTGATGATTGGCCATAATTACAAGGGTGCATTCCTAAATCAAAAAGTACTTAGAAACTTCCATATGAACAAGTGTCTTATTACATTTAGTTTAAGAGGCAGTGGAGTCTCAGAGGGTAGTCTCAGGAACAATATTTTTTTTGGAATAAGCAGTTTTTGTCCTTCAAATAAAAACAACTTCATTGGGGTTAGATCTTATGGCTGATTATTGTAGGCAGGCCTTTAAAGACCTAGAAATTTTAACATTGTGAACTGAGTTCTCCATATAAAGAACAACCTTTCCATGTTCAGAATCCAAAGAGATGTTTACAGTTTTTAATCGTCTACTGAAACACATGTCATGCTTATAGATAAAAAAAATGTGAAAACCATTTTAATCTCTGGTGGTTCAGATGATTTTCTCAGTGATATATTTCAAAACTTTTATTTTGTTGTCTGATGTCTTATTGTCTCTATTTGTTTTTAATGTTGTTTTTTGTTTAAGTCAGATTTGATATTTATACCCTTAACCTGTTAAAATAAGCCAACCATCACTTTGATCATTTGTACAACATGTTCTTTTGATAAAAACATATTTTTTACTTTGACTGTGACGGTTTGGTATTATGTTATCTCCATCAACCATTTTTTTTTCTGACTTTGATATGCTGTATCTTAGAATTTGTTTATATGCACTTTTCAACTATAAATTTTTCTTTTAGAAATAGTCATATTAAAGTAACCAGAAGTTTGTGTTCATCGAACATTAAATAAAATTTAAGTAATTCTAAGTTTTTTAAAAGCCGAAATGAAGTGATCATATTTTCTTAAGTCATCAATTATTAGTCTGTAACAAGAATACTTACTTCAATTCCTTACTTTCTCCAGAAGAATCTTCCTGCTGAGCAGTCTTTACTACCTCAGGCTCCTCTACAAACTTTTCCTTGAGATCTTCCTCTTTAGTTCCATAGAAATATGATGCAAATGACTCACTGGAACACTTGACAGATACTTGCAGCACAACATTATTGTCCCAAACCTCAACAATTGTATCATCTTGGTTGATGGACTCAGGTAGTTGAATCATAAAGGCATAATGGCTAGGATAAAAGCTTGAACCTATGCTAGTAAACTTAACATGAACCGAATTATCACTGGGGAAGATTTTACCAACAGATTTTTCATCAACATTTTTCACATTTAAAGTGAATGCTAATACATTTTCAAATAGATGACAACTGAATTCAGGAAGACTGTAATGCAGGCCTTTATCCAAAAACATAGTTCTAAAGCATGGATGTTGTTCAAGACACTTAACAATGGGTTCAACATTTTCAAAATCACATATTTTTCCACTGGGTTCATCATCACATTCTGGAGAACACAGACCTCCATGATCGCTTTCCACACCACTATCACTAAGTTCTGCAGACATCATGCAGTTTTTCACTGGAAGTGTAATCACTAACTGCTTAAGATCCTTATTGAACTTTGCATTTCCTATTGAGTCATTTACTCTATAAGGCAAAGTTAGGTCAAGTTTGTACTTTGCAGGCTTCTCACTAACTAGTTGTACTGTTTTTTCAGTCACCTCCACTGAGATATCTCCAGAAGATTTTAGAAGAGGCAAATCTATCACCACAACAAGTTCCTTGGGAATAGCTGTGTTTAGTTTAGCATTTTTATTATCTGTAAATTCTTGGAGATCTACATGAGTTCTGTGTTTGATGATGTATTTTGGGGTGGTGTATTCTGAGTTATCATCACTGCTGTTTTTCCTAGTCTTATTCTGTTTTTTACTGGGACTGTGCACAGGTGGCAGGTTCGCTTTAGAAAACAAATTATCATAAAACTGTTTTTCTTCAGCAGAATGCTCAGGCAGCTTCTCAGAAGGGGTACGTACTACACTAGGATGAGGCATACCTTTATACGAAAGTTTTGGAAATTTGAGGTTCTTTTTGTCCAATTTTACATCAAAATTAGCCTCTACAGCATCTAAAGCAGTGTTATTAACCATAGTACGAAATGCAGAGTTCTTAGAAGCTAAATGCAAAGCATCTAGATGAAAAACAACATCAAACACTTGACAACGTACCCCCTTATTATCAATATCGTCCCTAGGGGGTGATAAAGTATGTGGCAAGCTCCAGTTAAGCCCCCTAGCCCCTTCTTTTACGGTAGGACTTGAAGCCGGTTTTTTCACGTTTTCGTTAGAACAAATATTCACAAATGCTTTTTGGTTTCCGTTTACGCTAGTTTTGATTACGTACCCTGCGTTTGGGTGTATGAAAGTCACGTCGACACCTCGCTCTTTCTCTAATTGTACAATTTCTTCCTCGTATCGCTTCTTATTTTCAGGATCGTGCAGTTCTTCCACGTATTCACAGAGTAGTTTGCGAAACTCGGGCTTCTTTAGGGCTTCACCAATTCGGTTCACTTCGTCGCGTGTAATGTTCAATTCACGTAGCTTATCAAATGAATTTGTCATTCTCACTTATTGTAAATATTATATAATAATAGCACTGATAAAAGGTAAATATAAACAAATTTGCTGATCTGGAAATTTCCTATCGTTCACGTGGACTCACTGTGTAGAATCAGCCGGTTTTTAGGTTGCCGGTCTGCAAGAAAAACCGCGGCAATTTTGAAACAAAATGTGCCGTTATTAAACTGTCCTTTGTGTTTATTTCCGTAAAACGTAAATTACGCGTCAGGAAAATGTTGAAAATGTACAAAATTGATCTGATAAACGTCACATAAACGGTTCGCGTAACCCTGGTTACGGAATAACCTCGATACTATATTTGATCGAAGTTTTGGCAACGGTCTGAGGAAACAGAAAATAAACTTCAGTTATTTTAATACATTTTCCTGTAGAACATAGTCGATGCTTGATGTTATGTATGGCAAAAAAGCACAACTAAACTTAGCTGTTGTTATAAGCTCTCCTATATGTCTGGTTATCAAGAAATAAACGAGGTCACACTGATATAAATTGTTCATTTTTATGCTGTTTAAGTTTCCTGGTGATACCTCTAGCTGTATCATTACAATTGAATGGATAAAAATAGATATGAAAATCGATAACAATACATGATGGGATATACGTTTTTATGATTATACCTAGTTTAGTGTTTCAAATAGCTAGGTACCTAGTATAGAAATAGATAATAAAACGACTCGGAAGCCGGGAGGTTAGGGATTCCGTTAATTGCTGAGGAAGAAGGTATTATCTTGAAAAGTAACATTATGTCCGTTTTTATTGATATATATATATATATATATATATATACAGGGTGTCCCAGAAGTCGACGTCAAGCCGAAACCGGGTGATAGGCAAAGTCATAACAGCTATCAGAAAAATATAAAAAAATTTTATGTATGTGTTTTGAAAATTATAGGTCTTTGAAAAAGATATAGAAATTTCACACCCTACGGCAGTCTGTCAACTCCTGTTACTACAAATATTAACTTTTTTTGGATTTTATTTTTACAATGTAATGATGAATAATGCATCTTCAAACTGGTGTCTCAACCTTACTGCCAACTTTTCTCGTTCAGGAAAAATTGCCACTTATTTCCCAACCAGGTATTCCAAAGTAAAACTTTGCTCAACTTTAACTGCATAACTAGAAAAAAATGTGCTACGAGAGTTTGGCAAGTAACCTTAAAAGTTGGCGCATTTAATAACGATTCCAAAATGGTATAACACTTAGAAGATTACTCGTTAACTTATGCACAATTTTTATTTTAAAAAAAAAACATGAAAATTTTTCAAAATTTCCTAATTAAACAGCGATTATGAAAACGCACAAGGACCCTTAAGGATTACTGTTTGCACAACAGTGGGCGTCAAAATGCTGTTGATGATGATTTACTTTTACAGCAAATGCTTAAACTGTTTTCCTTCAGCCGCAATACACGCTCGACATCTTCTTAAAAAAGATCGGGTTATTAAACGAGCGAATCCACGGTTATTAACAAACTCAGCTGCTTCCAATAGTGTTTGCCGTAGCTCAGCTACATTTTGAATCGGCTTGAAATACACTTTTTCTTTTACAGTTCCCCAGTAAAAAAATCTAACAGATTCAAATCTGGTGACCGGGCTGGCCACGGTATTGTACCAGTTGTTTTGATCGAGATACTCTCACTGAGAGTGTGAGAGTGCATAGTGCGCTGAGCAGCCATCATGCTGAAACCACATGTCCCTGTAAATACTCAGTGGCACGTCCTCCAATAAATTTTCTAAATGATTTTGCAAAAAACCTAAATAAACCTCAGCAGTCAAAGTCTCTCGGACCTCAAACGGACCGATTATTTTACCATTTAAAATTCCTGTCCAATGGTTTATCTTGAAGCGATATTGAGATTTATCTTCTCTCATCAAATGTGGGTTTGCTACGTGCCACTCGTGTAAGTTATGCAGGTTCATGTACCCATCTTTCTTAAATGTGTCTCATCCCACCATAAAATGTTTTCAAAGAACTGTGGATCTTTCCTGTGTCTTTCTAACATTGTGCGACAAAAAGCAACTCGGGGCTCATAATCAAGGGGCAGGAGAGGTTGAACACGCTGTATGTGGTATGGATGAAGCACATCACTTACTTGCTATTGCACACTTTGATACCGATCAGTACTCCTTCGTTTACTGTGCATCTTTACATGTTCGTGCTTGTTGATTTCGTACTGTTACTAATTTTGGATTCGTGAACTGGACTGTTGATCGCTTGTGATTTGGATTTGGACTGTTTAATTGCTCTTCAAAACAACATTTGCTTTCCTTAGACTATCTTTGATAGTGTGATTGTGCAGTGCCGCTATGTCCGTGTACACCGTACAAGAATATGCTAACATGCACCTCATTTATGGAGAATGCAGATGCAACGCTAGTGCTGCAGCGAGACTTTACTGTGAGAGGTACCCGAATGCAACTCGTCATCCAGATCATCGAGTGTCCACAAATTAATGTGCACCGCTTACTGTTCTCAGAGGGCCAACTACCAAACGAATCACACGGTGAGGGAAGATCTTTCCTTCCTTACGAAGACGTGGTGCTAGGAGCTGTCGAAGAAGACCCGAGTACTTCAGTGCATGCAATAGAACTAAAAACAGGTGTGTCCAAAAGTACAGCCCATAGAATCTTGCAAAAAAAAGTGCTCCATCCATACCACGTACAGCGTGATCAAGCTCTTCTGCCCCGGGATTATGAGCCCCGAGATGCTTTTTGTCGCACAATGTTACAAAGACACAGGGAAGATCCACGGTTCTTTGAAAAAATTTTATTGTCAGATGAGATCACATTTAAGAAAGATGGGTACATGAACCTGCATAACTTACACGAGTGGCACGTAGCAAACCCACATTTGATGAGAGAAGATAAATCTCAATATCCCTTCAAGATGAACCATTGGACAGGAATTTTAAATGGTAAAATAATCGGTCCGTTTGAGTTCCGAGAGACTTTGACTGCTGAGGTTTATTTAGGTTTTTTGCAAAATCATTTAGAAAATTTATTGGAGGACGTGCCACTGAGTATTTACAGGGACATGTGGTTTCAGCATGATGGCTGCTCAGCGCCCCATGCACTCTCAGTGAGAGAGTATCTCGATCAAAACTTTCGAGGCAGATGGATAGGGCGGTCTGGTACAATACCGTGGCCAGCCCGGTCACCAGATTTGAATCTGTTAGATTTTTTTTACTGGGGAACTGTAAAAGAAAAGGTGTATTTCAAGCCGATTCAAAATGTAGCTGAGCTACGGCAAAGACTATTGGAAGCAGCTGAGTTTGTTAATAACCGTGGATTCGCTCGTTTAATAACCCGATCTTTTTTAAGAAGATGTCGAGCGTGAATTGCGGCTGAAGGAAAACAGTTAGAGCATTTGCTGTAAAGGTAAATCATCATTAGCAGCATTTTGACGCCCACTGTCATGCAAACAGTTATCCTTAAGGGTCCTTGTGCGTTTTCATAATCGCTGTTTAATTAGGAAATTTTGAAAAATTTTCATCAGTTTTTCTTCAAATAAAAATTGTGCATAAGTTAACGAGTAATCTTCTAAGTGTTATACCATTTTGGAATCCTTATTAAATGCGCCAACTTTTAAGGTTACTTGCCAAACTCTCGTAGTACATTTTTTTCCAGTACAGCCAGTTAAAGTTGGGCAAAGTTTTACTTTGGAATTCTTGGTTGGGAAATAAGTGGCAATTTTTCCTGAACGAGAAAAGTTGGCAGTAAGGTTGAGACATACGTATTGTAAAAATAAAATCCAAAAAAAGTTAATATTTGTAGTAACAGGAGTTGACAGACTGCCGTAGGGTGTGAAATTTCTATATTTTTTTCAAAGACCTATAATTTTCAAAACACATACATAAAATTTTTTTAAATATTTTTCTGATAGCTGTTATGACTTTGCCTATCACCCGGTTTCGGCTTGACGTCGACTTCTGGGACACCCTGTATATATATATATATATATATATATATAGTTTTTTGTGACATTATGTAGGTTCCACAAGATGTCAACTTAGCACACTTGATGTGTACTCGTTCCTTAGCTGTACGTGTTGCCTAAACATCATGATGCTTCAGCTATCAATGTTTGGCTATGATGTGATGTAATATCTGCTTCAGAGATGGCATTATATTGGAGGTCTTAGCTATAAATTGTATACTATAGCTGGAAGGAAACGACAGTGCATTTAGGTGCATAATAGTGAGGATTTGTGTGCTAATAATCTGTGTTGATGATGATTCCATTGGTTCCTTGTCTCAAATACATTTGATTGAGATGTATGCAAAGCTAAAAATTAGTTGCGTATTCACTTTTTCTTATTCTAACTGGAAATTATACATTATGCAAATTTGATGAATTTCAAAATTGAGAGCGATAAGAAATGAAAATCCCTGGTTGGTGAAGTATAATAAAATTAACAGGCGAGAAAATATGGTACATACAGAAATATTAATTCATGAAATGTAGAAAAGCTATTACATTTCACATTAATTTTTATTTCTACTCATTTAAATTTTATAGAAATCCATTTTACGATGTCAAGTAGAAAATACAAATTAGCGCCTAGATGTGAGGCAGTGCGAAGATGTTTTGTATGTGATGCGTCATGCCTAATGCTTCTGTGATGTTGCTTAATTATACACAACGAGCTCGCGGTACTGATTTTCCGTAAAGCTTCTCGAAGTTTTTGGAAACGCAAAAAATGGGGAAAATAGTAATATATCTATAACTTTTTGAGCATAACCTGTCTTCAGAAAGGAAAACACAACTAACCTATACCCTATTTCACGAGTATCCATTACGGTAGAATCACAGCTGATTATCTAATAACATCTCAAAATTCCCCATATCGGCACAGGACACATAATTCTGACGGATCCATCAACTTCAGGTAGTCAGAGCCGTATTTTTTGTTTGTTTTTTGTACGCTATAGATTCAGTTTGTACTTGCTAACAGCTCTTTTATTTAGAAAAGTTCATTTGCTTACGAAAATCAAAACGCTATAAAGAAGTTTTGCTAGAATTATTATCCAACATCGCAGAGATTAACACAAGAATATCACTTGCAGATCATAGCTATTCACCTTAGTAGACGTCAAAGCGTGATGGATACCTCGTGAAATACGGTATATCAGCTAATAGATACCTTTATTGGGCATCATTTTTAGTAATAATTTTCTCATATAGCAAATAATAATAATAATAAATAGTAATAAAGCATTTATTGACCAACAGTACAGGTACCATTTAGAGAGCAATACCTACATAATACAATGGTTTAATTTACACAGTCTGTGTGTCATTAAGTGAAACAAAAAAAAACACACACACAGAAAAGAGGAAGGGTCTTTTAGTAGAGAAAAAAGAAACTATAAATATGATCAATAGATATTAGGAAACCAGAATATACTCGTATATACATAAATATCCATATACACATACAAACACACATACACATAAGAGTATACACATATATATATATATATAACTTGAGACGTGGTCATTATCGTCTAGACCAGTTAGGTGAAAGTGAAAGTACCCAACAAAAGGCGGAAGCTTTAATTTTTCACCTATATATATATATATATACATATAAGTACATATATCACAAATGAAAATCCCTAGAGAAAGGCGTAAAAAAGTCAAAGATGTGAACGTATAGCACTTCGTAATTCCTGAAATCCACAACAGAAGATATCACAAAAACTCACAATCCTATTCGCATTATTGCACATAAAGTTTATTGGTGCTTTAGATAGAAGATTTGTCTGCGCCCTCTTGCAGTAAAAGGAAACTTTATATTTAGATGTCAATCTAGGTAACAGGAAATTAATTTGCGATAGCAAAACAGGACAGTCGATGTTACCATGTAGTAATTTGTATAAAAATATGATGGACGCCTGCTCTCTGCGCTTTTCCAAAGAAGGGATGCCAAAATCTATTCAGTAATTGTGAGTAGTCACATCCTCTTGGAGGATAGACACCATCACTCCTATAGCATAGATATTTTATAAATTTCTTCTGCACTTTTTCAACATTATTTTTGTACAGTTTATAGATAGGGCTCCAAATAATTGCACCGTTTTCTAATTTACTTATAACAAGCACTGAAAATAATTTAATAAGCGTTGTGTTATTGAAATTTCTACAATTTCTGATAATAAAGCCATATTTGCGATACGCATTACTTATAATTTCACTGATGTGGTAGTTAAAAGTGAGCTGACAATCGAAATTGGCGCCCAAATCCTTGAAAGTTTCACACCTTTCCAATACAGAATCATCTATTTTGTATGGGTAAGTTAAAAATTTGGCTTTCCGGGTGAAGGTCAAAATGCGGCATTTAGAATTGTTCAAATACAAATTGTTATTAACACACCATGTTTGTAAAAAAACTAGTTGTTGTTGGAGGTTTTCACAATCCTGCCAGCTAGAAACACATGCGTAAAGCTTCAGATCATCAGCAAACATAAGCTTCTTGCATGATAATGTGCTGCAAAGCTCGTTAACGTGTAAGACAAACAATAGGGGGCCCAAATTAGAACCCTGAGGTACACCACTACTTGGCATATATTTATAAGAACTAAATCCATTATAGAATATATAGGGTAAGTCCGGGAGAGATCGACCACATTTTGGAAAACATATTGTAAATATTTTGGTTTCTGAGGTACACGTTTTTTTAACTGTTGAAGCATTACCTAAAGGGTTAGGATAGTAAATAAATCACAATTTAAGATATAATACAAACATAAATGTTTATTTTGAACTAAAAGTTTAAACATTGTAACTGGTCGATCTCACCCGGATGTCCGGGTTAGACCGACCACCAACTACGGGTGAGATCGACTTCGAAAAATAAGAAAACATAAAATAATAAACCATGTTTGAACAGTATAATAATAAGGGTAGAATTAAATCGTAGAAATACATTTAATTTTTTCGACTTCTCTTGTTAAATTTTCCGCATATAGCGCAAATATTCTCGAATTTTGAGCATCCATTATGAAACCAACGACTACAGTTCACACATTTGAGCCATTCGTCATTCTTAGTGGTTTTAAAATAATTTTCCCCACATCCTACGCATTCGCTTTCGTCGCATTCATCTGCTGATGTATCACTTTCCTGCAATACTGGACTTTCGCTCTCCGAATCTGAATCTTCTAATGTTCTTTTCTGTTTAACCACAGTTTTTTTCTGAATTGGACATTTGTTTTTTTTCTTTGTTTTCTTTTTATCCTTCTGAATCTCAATTCGTTGTGAACTGTTTAAAATAGCTGCAAGCTGCCTACCTCCTGTTTTAACTGCTGCTTTTGCGTTAGTTTTGGGAACAAGTGGGAACAGTGAGAACATTTTCTAAAAGGGTAAAATAGTGTTTCACAGACAGACAGTTCATTCCAGTCGCTCGGTTAATAGAAATTCCTTCGGCTTTTCTAATCGATATATCAGGATGTCGACGTAAAAACGAGTAGTAGTCATAACCGGCCTTGCCTCTATCTTTATTAAACGTGTGCTTCAGTTTTAATTTTTCTGCAAGTTGAAAAGCCCATATTCTGATGGACTCCCGATCTGGTGCAAATCCAAATGTTTGCAATTTTTTTATGTGTCGCATGAAATTTTGGTTCTGCATCTTCTCCCAACGCTGATGACGGACCTAATCTGTGTTGTTTTATTGCGTCCCCCTTCTTAATCCTATCTTTTAGCGTTGTTTTAGGTATTCCAAATTGTCTGGCGGCTTCATTTACACCCTATGTACGATTTTGTACACATTCAATTGCATTTCTTAAAGAACCGGCACTCCATTTAGCTCTCTCTTCATTTTTCCTTTTGTAAGTCGTAGGCATTTTTGTTAATCTGTAACAATATTATTTTACAATAAATTTATTTTTTCAAATTGAGCTTTATTGTATCACTAATTTCCTTCAGACCGCCGAATATTTCATTATTACTATTATTATTTCCATGGTCGGTCTCTCCCGGATTGATGTGGTCGTACTCTACCAAAGTTACGGGAGAGATCGACCAACTTGTTAACCGAAGGAAAAATGATAAATGCCTACATTTTTGGGGTTATGTTATAGTTTGATGCATATTTTATCATCCAGTATTGAAACAGTTCAATTAAACTTACCCGTCTTTAAAATATCACGAACACAGTAAATCATTCAAAAAATTGTCAAGTTTGCACAAATTTTTAAATTTAATTTGTACATTTATACTACTGTTACGGGGCGTGTTTACGTGTTCCATGTAACAAGGTCAACTAATCGCATCATACATGATGTGAGTCACGGATTCATCTATTGCTTTGTGGTTATGTTACCGGCAGTGGTCGGTCTCTCCCGGTGGTCGATCACTACCGGAATTACCCTATTGAGTTCTCAAGTCTAGATAAGACTTGAGAAGATCCACATAAGTTCTGTTGAATCCCATGTATTCAATTTTTTGTACAAGTAGTTGATGGTCAATTTTGTCAAATGCTTTTGTGAAATCCATTATATATGATATCCACTTGCCCCCTATTGTCTACCGTCTCGCATAGATATTGACCGAACGTGGCCAAATTAGTAACAGTGGATCTCTGCTTCATAAAGCCATGCTGATGCACTGACAGATGGTTTTTAGTTGCCAAGTAAATTCTGGAATACAATATTATTTCAAAGAGCTTTGCAAAATTATTCAGTATAGTGATCGCCCTGCAATTATTTACTAAGGTTCTGTCTTACGACTTGAAAATTGGGCAGACTTTGGCAACCTTCCGCTTATCAGGAAAAACCGATGAACGTAGAATTGAATTAAAAATTGTCAACAAAGGAGTTGAGAAAAGCTCAGTCTTTAATGAAAAACGATGGAAGTTGATCTGGCCCTGATGTAAATTTGTTTTTGAGTTTCTTTGCAGCATCTAATATCTCTTTTTCACTTATTGACTCGCATGTTATATTAATAAGAATATCATTGTTACAATTGTTGTACTCATCACTTATAACACGATCACCCGGTGGAGAGTAAACACTCTGAAAAAAGTCTGCAAAAGCATTGACTATTGATACGGGGTCATTACAGGAATTATTTTGGTAGAACATTTTATTAGGAATTCTAGATGTGTTACTCTTACTGTGCATGAATGACCAAAAAGATTTAGGTTCATTAATAAGCTGGCTTTGAAGTGTTTGAATGTAAGTTATATAAGTCTGCTTAATTTTTTGTTTAAATGTGGATCTAAGCCTATTGAATTCCTGATAATATGCGATGTTATTAGTAGCCTTGAATCTTTTATGATATTTGGCCTTTTCTTTTACTAACGCAATCATTTCGCTGGAATACCATACAGGATACTTATGCTTGAATATTTTTGCAGAAGGAACATGTCTGTCAAGTATTGGAAATAAGTTGTTGTAGAAAGTTTCAACTACTTGGTTAGGATCAATCGCAGTATCTAAGAAATCCCAGTTTGTGGATACTAGATCCTCATAAAGCGTGGGGAAATTAGCTTTTCTGAAGTTATACTGCTTATGCTGAGTGTGGGTGGCAAATTTTTTCACTTCAAAATGAAATTGATTTATGGTTACAGATATAGCGGGATGATGGGGATCTTCATTTATAAGTGGGATTGTGTCTCGAGATACACTAAGACTCACATTACTTATTGCCAGGTCTAATAATTTACCGTAACTATTGCTAATAGTGTTATATTGGTTAATACCAGACAAAGCGATCCAATTGTTGATTATGGAGGTTTTTCTATCCTCGTTATTACCCTCAACATAAGCCGTACAATTAAAGTCACCTATGACAATTTTTTTGAATACAGACAGTACATATTCTCGACCCTTTCGAGGAAATTTTCAAAACAATCGATTGATACATGAGGTGGAATATAAATGAGTGCGACATATAAAATATAGCGTGATATACTGCACTTGCAAAGCAAAAAATCAATTTCAGGAAAGTCGACTTCAAATTCAGTAGTATTCACAATTTCAGACTTGAGGTCAGCATCCATAGCCAATAACACTCCGTCACCTGCCGATAAATCGATCTGGTTGTGATCCCTGTCTTTTCGATGTACATCATAGTTCTCAAGAAATAATTCACTAGACAAAACAACTGGTTTCAGCCAGGCTTCCGTAAGTGCAATTATATTATACTCACAATCACTGGCATTGGAAGAAAATGCATCCACCTTACTGTTAAGTCGCCGTACGTTCTGGTAGTACAATTTCACTGGGTCGACCTGAATACTGCTGGGCAAATCTAGTTTAACTGTACTATTTTTGGGATAGGGTAGGATAGTACTCCAGCTGCATCTTCGTTCGGTCTGGAGCTATCCTGACATTGCTATAGATCCTGTTAGTATTCAACTTTCTTGCGTTCATAGCAATATCAGGGCTTTCGACCGAGATTTTTATAGGACAGATTTTGTTTCCAGCGAATGGCCCCAGTCTAATAGGTTTTAAGTTGGTTAGCGTTAGCTCAGGATCAACTTTAGACACTATATCCAAGACAGTAGTGGAGTCACTCTCGGTTTGTTCCTTTTTCGATTTGGCCTGGTCCGGCTCTTTAACATTGAATAGAATTATGTTAGTTTTGCGCTTTTGCCTTTCAATAACTTCCGATATGACATCCTCGAAGCTGAATCCTGAAGAATCCGCTACTTGCATATTTGCAGCCTTCAGTTCTTTGATGTCATTTTGCAGCTGTATGATCAAGGCCCTTAGTCGCTTGATATCTTTACCAATGGCTCGACAATCGACGCAAGTCCAATCGTAACCCTTGTTTGCATTTAGCGTTCGAACTTCATTAGCAGTAATAGATACACAACTGTGATTATATGTTTCTGTACAGACGGAACAGGTGATTAGAAGATGACTATCCAACATGTGATTGCAACATTTACAAGGCGCTCTTGATGGCATTGTTTATCGCTCAAAATTAGTACGCCACTGCCAGATGTTGTGCTGATAAACGGTGATGTTAGCGAAGATGACTTTCTTTCGAATAAATTTTAAATGCTCAAAATTTCAGCTTGCAAACATTCACAGTGGCAGATAAAGGGCCTCTTACAATACTGGTACTTACACAATAATTTAATAGGCACTAGATTGTGAACTAAACACGATATCAAATAGCTGTAAACAAAACACGTTTTTAACACTCAGTGGCGCAGCAAATATAGCCAATACACAGAATCATCCAGATATGATCTTGCTACTCTGCTACTCAACCACACATTTCTCAGAGTATACTCTACGGACTATCTCGGCATTCTGCAACCAACAGACCATGATGCATGAGGTAAACTGACTTGCAGGTTGCAGCATATGGTCATTGGGCGTGTCGTGTCGTTGAGTCCATAGATAGACGCTTTTGATGACGCTCACAGCGTCACATACTATTTGCACACTAGGAAGTATGTACCTAGGCAGCAAGATGACATTTTCCCGGTTTTTTATTTTGACGTTTCATAGGTTTTTTACGTAACAACTCTGGCGGGCATTGTAAATTTATACGCCATTGATGAGCCTCCCAACTAACAATTATCACTCTTATTAGGGTTGCAGGAACGATTATACGGTTTTCCTTACACAGCATTGTAGGTATGTTGCAAGAGCATTGGCAAAACGCTCTTAGAACAGCTATACAAGCGGAATGGACACGTCAGTCATTTAAGAGCTGGTATCAGGGCTGCAGGTAACAGTTATACAATAGAAGTGTAAACCTCTTGCAGCCGCTAGAAAGAATACTTGCAACCAAACTATTTATGTATTGTATAGGCGAAGTGAAGAATATATAACTAACACATTACAGTCATCCTTTTTGCCTACATATCGGCCATTGTGAGTTTCCTACACAGGTATTATAAACTTCTTAACTATCATATAGGGCTATCGAATGACTTGCGCAGAAAATTTGTGATTATCCTACAAAGTAGGGACTCAATTTCTACGGGCTTCAGATTTCATTAATGTTTTAAGATAAAAATTTAAACTTGTCTGCGTTAAACCTTCCACAAATCCTACACTTAGACCCAATTACACTAACGTTTATCATTTTATATCTGTAATGTTGGACTAAAACAGAATTATTTCATTTTCATTTCATTTTCATATAATCATGGCATCTTTGGTCTATTAGAACATTTTGAAATGAAATGAAATGAAATGCGGACAGAGTCGAATGCTTCACTCAAAGTGTGTACCAGATCTGTAGGTAGATATTCATCGGTTGCTTGTCTTAAAAACTTGGTTATGCCAAAAAAAGATGACAACAGAAACTTACGAGTATCCATCACGCTTAGATGTCTACTGAGGTAAACAGCTGATCAGCAAGTAACATTATTGTATTGGTCTGCAACGTTGGTAATAACGAATGGGGTGTAAATCTAGTAAAACCTGTTTGTAGCGTTTTGTTTTTGTATGCAAATGACCTACTCTAAATAAAAAACGTTTTAGTAAGTATAAAATGAATATGTAGGCGTACAAAAAAAACAAGATATGGCTCTGTCTACCTGGCATTGACGGATCCGTCAGAATTATGTGTCCTTTGCCGATATGGGGAATTTTTAAATATTACTAGATATGTAATGTCATTCTACTGTGACGGATACTCGTGAAAAAGACTATATTTAGCAACAAATGTATGCCAATCTCAGCGATTTTGTATGATTTATGATATTGTTGCAGATGTACAGCCTTTCACAGTTACTAACCGCCGGTGGGTATAAGTGCTTCCGTTTTGAGCTATTTTGCCTAGCGCGCAAAAATGCCATTTAAAATAGTTGCATACAGGCTTATGCAACAGTTCAAAATTAGTTCTATAAGGGGTTGTATAACTATGCTACAAGCATGTTTTAGACGCCTCATTTTAGAAAGCAACTTTGCATTGCACACAACATTTTTGTTCAGGAAACAACAAAAGAGAGCTTTTACGGCTGAACAGCTCTTTTACCAAAAACTTATAGCACCACTTTGTTAGTTGGGCTGAATAAGGCCAGAACAGAAATATTGCTCAAATACCTCAACGATAAGATAGAGTTAATCTCCCCATACACCGTGTACAATTCACAGTACCAAATATTCAAACCAATTTCGTCCCAAAAGTAGTCCGAAATTTCTTAAGAGACGCGATTCATGTAAAACTGAATTTTTTGTTAATTTCGAAATCCATCACCCTTTATCTCGGCAGGTGGGCATATATATATATATTTTCAATGTTTTCTGAATCTCCCTGTATTTTCGGTAGTTTTGCCATTGAAACCCACGAATTCAGACTAGGTAAGCAGCGAGTCAATGATTTGTTTGTCTCTTGATTCTCGTAGCCTGTAGTGTCAAAGTGCGCTTGAGATAAGTCAACTATTTGACAGTTATGTCATTAAATTCCTATTTTTAGTGTTATCATTTAAAAATGGGAGTATTTGCAGATAAATGTGTATTGAAAGATTTCAAGACATGGCCTTTATTACATAATTTTCAAAGAACGTCACAAGCCTAATGAAGGTAGATGTTTCCATCAATAAGTATAATTATTATTATATTGATACAACACCGTCACTTTGGTAGACATTGATAGACTTATTTGCGGATTGGCGAATTATTTTCGTAATTACAAACATGAAAATGCAAACAAAACATTCGTCCGCAAAGGTCCTTTACGTAGGAGAACAACAGAAAAACCAGACAAACAAATGAATGCGGCGCCGAGACTAACAAGTAAATCAGTGGAAATAAGATAGTTCAACATTTTTAAGCTTTTATGGACGCATTCTAAGATGATCTAGTATCTTGTTTTATAGGGTCCCCACCATAATCTGTAACTGCGGTACCTACTTTCGATTTCACTTTCAAAGAATTACAAGTGTAGACTTCATGGATAACTCCTCATTTGTGGTCAGCTGGTGGTATTTTCTATCCCATAACAAAAAGAATGATTGATTTCTTGAGGTAAGGATTCCGCAGTTTTCTGAATATACTAAATCACATCGGAGGAATTAGGAATTTACGTAACCGCAACGTTATTCTAGTATGATAATGGTTTTTTTGATTCAAAGACCACATCAGATTCAACTTAACATGGCAAAACGGTTACCTGCATGAAACTATATATTGATATGACGTGGTGGCGCGAGACCCAAACTTAATGTAAGGACAATTTTTTGTTGAAAAAGTAACAAACTAAATTTTTTACTTATATATTTCCGAGATCCCAATGGTGAGAGTCGAATTTGAAGTACCCGGTATATATAAGGACTTAATATTCTGTTTTATGGTATGAATAAAGATGACTGAAAAATAATGTTACCAGTTTCTTTTTTGTCAATAAATAGAGATGACTGAAATATAATGTTACCAGTTTCTTTTTTGTCAATAAATGCATTTTTGTGCATTCTTTATGTATTTTTTCTTCAGTGGTAACTTGTTAACTAATAGTACAGCTTTTATGGAAGAATGAAGCGGGTGATTTCTTGTTTTTATATCACTTTCTTTGTTCAAGAAATCTTTGCTTTTCTTGAAAACTCAATTTGCTGCACAATGAGATTTCAAGAAAATCAAAGGTTTTTGAACAGAAAAAGTGATCAGAATAAAAGTAATCAGCCGCGTCATTCTTTCATAAAATTGGAATTCACATATAATTTCAAAGCTATTTGTTGATAAGTTACTATTGAAGAAAGAAATCCACAAAAATAATAACATTGTGTTTTAGTCATCTCCATACACAGCACGAAATAATCAGATGGAAAGGACTTAGAATGATGCTCCAAACAGACAGTTTAAAAAAGGGACATACGACATTAAGAAGTGGTGTCGGCTGACTCACCACAAACTTAAAGTTTGATAGTTTGTCATACTAAAGTTAGCGTTATCAAATTTTTGTTTCCATGGTTAACTTATTATTTTAGGCGTAGGGCATTAACTTTGAAGTGAGTAATGCATTTTCTTCATTTTAATTAATACGTTATACGTTTTTCGAATTTTGGTCACTTAAATGAACCACTGTATGACAGGTTGACGAAAACAAAAACTTTGCCCTATAATGTCATATAAAGACTGTTTTCGATTACCTACACATTTTTTTTCACAAGGTTTGGTTCAGTTTACTAAACAAGAGCTTGAATGAAAATTTATTTCGTATCCTTAAATTCCTGTTTTCCATTCAAACAATTTATTGTTCACTAAATAGTCTGCGATCCTGCGCATTAAGATTCTGTCAAAAGCCATACTACAAATGTCAAAGTTGTCAGTTTTACTGAAGTGTCACTAATCGAATTGTCACAAATTGAGGAAATTTAGCCTGACCTATAATATATACCTTCTCCCAACTCTTAGCGAAGAGACTTTAGTACTTTTCTATGCTCCTGCGCATAAGATGTCCTCCAGCCCAGAAATTTCTTCTGTGGAGAAACAGTAGGTCTCATAGCCTTCAATTCCTCCACTATTACTTCTATGGCCATGCTCCTCATATTTTTGTTATGGTAGTCAGGATGCTTGACTACATAATAAGGAGGGATATTTTTCATAAAATTCTGCACAATACACCTTTTTCAAGAAATTCAACCAAATCTTGTACAAGAAATTGTATACCTAATCTAAAGCAGTCTTAACAATTTGTCGAGTTCATTTTAAGTGGCCCCCATATACTCATACCGTTTTTTCATATTCTGAAGGAAAAGCAGTTTCATGGATGTACAACCATTTACCTTTCACCTTTGATTTGATTACGAAGAATCTCAACAACGACCATAGCGCTTCGCTGTTTATAACATAGTCAAAGTATACAAAAGTGTGGCTCCTACGTTTATTAAAGTGTGGGTAAATCCTGAGCACATCGCGAGGCACAGAGAAATATACTAAGTGACAGAAACAAGAACACCCAGTAATTATGAATTTGTTACGTAGACTTGCTATGTAGATGTTTGTATCGATTTTTGTGACAACGTTTTGTAGCAAAGAAAGTACGAAAGCGATAGTTGTGTGTTGTAGATACAATTGACATTTAAACAAAGTCTTGTGAAGAGCTGCCACAATCTGTTCATTATGCCTAGAGAGAGAAGACGAGAAAATATTCAGCAGCTAATATGTTTGATATAGGGGGCAAATAATGAGCTTGCGTGAGGCTGGTTGATCCCTTAGAGCAGCGGTTCTCAAACTTTTTGGATGACGGAACCCTTTTTGGAAACGAAATACTTCGCGGAACCCTTGAATAAAACCAATACCTTTATCTGCATCCTTTATTTATAACCGTAATATGAATAGGTATAATACAATAGTAAGGTTACTTATTAGTCCTATTAGGTAAGTAGACAAAAAACATTTAAGAAAAAAGTTAAAAATCTAATGTGAGGTATGAAACTGTTTTTTTTTTTCATCAACTGGTTGATGTCGGGTTGGATGGGAGAGAGTTGAAGTTTCATGTCAGGTTCGGCGTCCAGTCTATTGCGGTATTTTGTTTTTGTAGCTGCGTAGGTTGAAAATTTGGGTATTCTTGGCCGATTTTGCAATAAAAATCGTTGAGAGGCGTCGTTTTGAAGTACCTCCATACTTCTAACCCATGACATTTCTAAAAACGACTCATATACCTCGTTTGACATATTTTCGGGCTTTTGCATGTTAGGCAAAGAAGGATTTTGAATCCATGAGTTTATTTTCATTTTTGCACTCTGTTCTTTGGAAAAATAGGTCTCAAAGGATGCGCGCAATGCAGTGAGATACTGGACTAATTCTTCGAATAGATCATCTGGAAATAGATCTGCAATCGCTAAAAAACTCAGTGAGTGACGTAAAGCTTTCTATTTCTCTCTTACCAACGCAGATAATCCAAAAATCCAATTCCTTTTTGAAGGCAGTGATTTTGCTACAAGCCTGGAACACTGCTGTCTGTTTACCTTGTAATGACAAATTTAATTCGTTCAATTTCTGAAAGATATCCATAAATGACAGTCGGAACAACCAAGTTTGATCATACAAGCGGTCTTTCAAATTGAATGAGGTATCTGAAATAAACGTTTGCAGGCACCATGGAACTATTAGGAAGCAGATTACTACATAACAAACAGGGGGGTAACCCATTGGAATCAACAAATCCGAAACCGTTATATGATTCATCATATTTTCTTTTTTTCGGCTTTGAAACCGTGCTGATTGACGTCGTCGTATCACCGTCTTGATCAGGAGTTGCTGCATCCTCCTGCCCGCGTACTTCTTTCGAATCTTCGCCTGCGAATAGAATGACCGTACGACCTAACGTGTAACGTGAACTGATTGTACGAATCGTCTGAAGGGCGCGGTGTCGCAGAGTTCGAGAGAACAGACCGGCGAGAATATTTGATAATTAATAGGCGCCTTTCGATAAGGCCGCTCCACACACATGCGAGAATCTGCCAGAAAAACATTCCTAGAATGTTTTCAAGCAAAAACGATTTTGTGGAATACAAATTTAAAAGACTATAAAAATAAACTAAACGCCGACGATGCGTGGAAACTTATTAGTACCTTGATGGAATTACCCACTAAAGAAATCGGAAAAATCTGGTTCTCGTGTAGACGATGCTTATCAGCCAATATGATCCGTATATGAGTATATGGATTTCTTTCTTGGGGATAGATCTAAATGTAAACGTGTCATCCATCACCTTATTTTTCTATACGTCTTTTAACTTTGATTTTTACCTTTAATACATATAGGCGTAAGTATAATATGCCAATACGCTTAGTAATAAGCTTTTCGCGACATTTAATCCTGCGTCATCGAGCATGAGAACCTTGCAAGTGTGGACCCAAAGAAGCGCTCGCCGAGATTATCGGCAAGATTCTTGCGTGAGTGTGTAGCGGCCTTTAATACCAACCCAACCTTCGGCAAATGTAGACAGTAGCAGTCAGCAAACCACGCGACGTAAAAGTGAATAAAGGCGGTAGAAGCAAGCGTATTGTGGGTAGTACTCTATCCATCTCACTCTTTTATATTACAGTATATTGTTATAATATATAGGCAAAAAATTCTCGCGGAGCCCCCATGGAGGCTTCATACCGCCTTCAGTTTGTCCTACCTCTCACTTCAAGGCACCGAAGTGATCGACGGGCTTGGTGCAGAGAACGGCTAAACTGGGACCTCTAATGGAATACATTGCCTTTAGTGATGAATTCAGACTGTTTGGGGAGGCGTGAAGGCCGCGCAAAGGGTGAGAAGGCGACTCAATTTTTTTTAATATCGTTTGATTTTTGGGCATTAGGTTGCCTTCTTCCAAGCCGGGGCCCTGGGCATGAGTCCCGTGTACCAATTGGTAATGACATAATAGACTGAAAGTGCACGTTTTGAAAGAGAAACAGCATATTGTTGCATTCCATCGTAGTGGCTGATAACAATCAACAAAGTCCAAGTAGAGTCTAAATCTGCTGGATTATATGGTGGTACCACGGTCACGTCGCATCGCCTCGTGGGCACCTACCGTCAATGGTACTCTCACAATCGACGAAACCGCGCTAGTAAATCCCGCGCAGATTCCTCATCGTGCAATTGGTAGACGGAATGCGGTACAGAAAGTGCGTGGTGCAGTACTACGGAACCATTACGGTGCTCGCAATTGTAGTGTATTGCGTTTTTGTGGTTTTTTATGGGGTTGTTGATGAGACGTTGGTGACGAGTCGGACATCCACCTTAACACAAAAACAGGTATGCTTGAAGTTGTTTCCCGTCATTCATAACCAATTTTTTACTTCCTACTCCACTGCGAAAAATTTCGAAAACCTTTTTTGGATCTTATACGTCATCCACATCACTAAAAACCACGTCACTCACTCTGTCTGCTAACCTTGACCCGTCTATAATTTGCGAAATTCCGCTCGAATTTGGATTAAATTTTCAATGAGGACACTACCATACCAAAGACGAAGAAAAAGCTTTTTAGGTTTTCAAAATCGGTTGTGATGGCGCATATTAGCCTCTAAAGCACTCAAACTTTGTTATTTGACGTTTCAGAGGCTCCTGATTATTTTCAGAAACAAAATTGTAAGGGGTTAAAAATTGGACGTTGTAAGGGGTGAGGAAGGGTATATTTTGTTATTTTTTGTTGTCATTATACTTATATGCTCCCAACTCCCAGCCCTCGGTAATTCTATGCTATATCATCTAGGTTTTTATTTTCAATACGCGTCTCCTTCTGATATATAGGCTTACTGTCCGCCGTACTGGTCTGATTAACTGTTCTACTCGTACTGCAACTTTGCCGCGATGGAAGGGGCAACGTTGCGAGATAGACGGTAACTACCGGTAGGGCAGGGAAATAATGTTTAGGGAATAATTATATGGGTCAAACATGACTGACTTGATCCATTTAATTCCGTTGCTATACATGTTCGTAACTATTTTTTACTCAAAGGATTCAACTTGTGCTGAACTTCATCGTTTGTGAACTAATGTCGGTGTTGCGTAGGAATGTAGAGTCAACCTACTTGACGTCATTTTTTTCTTAAGTTAAATAACTGAACATTTTTCAAACAGGTTACTGAATCGTCATTCTGGATGTCTTACCCTTCAGCTTCTTTACGACACACCACAAAATCTTTAGTAGAACTGGGCAAAATGGATGAAGTTAATAAGCACTTCCTATTTCTGAACCATGTACCAAAGAGTGGTGCAGAAATCCTCATATTGCTACTACAGAGGTTGCAAGGCTACAACAACTATAGACATGTGAGGTTGAAAGATGGGAACAAGAGGTTTTTGACAAGAACCCAACAGGTAAGGTACTACTTGTTATAGGAACAAATATATTTACGCAGGGGTATTACGTAGAAAATCGATATCATGTCATCAAAAATCCGTATAATCTCAACTTGTGAACTAAGTAGTCGTTGGTCCATTTCGCGTCTACTCGCCGTAAGCGCCATCTATGGAGAAAAGACTCCATGTCCATATTGCCTAAAATTGCTGCAACTCGCATCTCGCCAATATACTTTGTGGGTTGCTGCCAAGATAGTCCATAGAGTAGACACTTATGAGCAAGATCTGACGAAAAAAATATGACCCAATATTAACGTATTATCCTAACTGATCATAACCAAAAATTATACCATGAATGAAGGGATATTATCACATCAGAGCTGAACCATATAGCTCAAGTGTCATCATGTTCAGGCAACACGCACAGCTACTAGAATTGAACATGAAGTGAATGACAGCTAGGTTCCAAGGTTACATTTTCCCGGAAAGTACTACGTAATGCCATTCAAAATTGATACAATGCCATTTTTTAAGTTACGTGTAATACGAGTATCCATTACGATAAAACAACAGCTAATTATCCAGTACTATTTAAAAATTCCCCGTATCTGCAAAAGGGCACATAATTCTGACGGATCCGTCAATGCCAAGTAGGCCAGAGCCATATTTTGTTTTGATATTTTGTGCACTACAGATTCATTTTGTACATGCTAAAAGCTCTGTTATTCAGAAAAGTCCATTTGCAAACAAAAACGCTACAAACATGTTTTATTAGATTTACATCCGATTCATTATTGCCAACGTTGCAGACTAACACAAAAATGTCACTTGCTGATCAGCTGTTCACTTCAGTAGACGTCAAAGCGTGATGGATACTCGTTAAATAGGGTATAGATCTATGGACTAACCAATTTACACGCCAGCAGTTGTTCATTTTTGGCTTCTCATCCTTGTCATAAACATTTTGACACAGTAACGACCAAAATTTTGTATATTGGCCGGGCTTTTCGGTTAAACTTCTCTTTATACTATATTGCAACTTAACATTTGCCTACAATCCTTGCGAGTGAGGCAAAACTGCAGCAGGTACACCATACATATTTACGTTGTTAAAAGTGTTCTCACATTATGTATATATCGACAATTATCTTGCACTGTAATAATTAGTTCTGCTTTACGGCTTATCTGACCTGCTTTCGTTAGCAAAAATATCGCTCCGACCAATTAGACAATTAAAGGGTTATGTAATACAAAAGGCCATCGCGTTTTTGTAACCCGAAATATATACATATAGATAATCTAATTTACTATTTAGTAGTATGTTGCTGTATTATTTTAAAGTTTTCTATAACAAATGGCATCAAAGAAAAGGGACGAGTCAAAACGTTTTAAAAGGCGAAATCGAATCGTGATTAGGTAGGTTTACTTAGGTAAGATGAATCTTCGACTTCTGCATATCAAAGTATCTAAAGCTAATCTATCATATTTCTGTTTCCATGACAGATGTAGCGAAAATATGTGTGACTTATTATGTCTAACAGGTGCATAGTATCACTGAGAGCAGCAGCTTAATAATCGAAGGTCGTTCACTGATGCCAAATATGCAACAATTTAATACCATTTACTGTATATAGCTTCCAAACTACTGTTTTTATCCCCTCCACACAATGTCTGAAAATGAGTAGGAATCTCTGAAACGTTGTAACACTATGTTCCAGCGATTCCATTTCCGCCGCCTCGCGTTAATATTCGAACTTCGTTTCACAAGTCTTCTGTTGCTGAAAGATATCTGCATCACACAAGTCCATGTTTCTCATTTATGTCGGTTTGTCAGTCCAGAAAAGCATCGATCATAGTCAGAGTAGCACAATTAAAAGCTAGGCGAAATGGATGGTACATTTAAGGATCATAAAATACAGAATAAATATATATATATATATATACAGGGTGACTTCGAAGTTGAGTCATTTATTTTAACAGTGAGTAGATCTGATCAAAAGAAATGTTTTTTTCCTTTAACATTTTTCTGGTAAAATTAAAGTAACAAAGTTATAGCCCTTTGGAAGTTTGAGTACCGCCCTGTCTCAATAATAATATCATGTTCTCGTGTTTGGCAACAACGGATATAATCCGCCTTACCGGTTCATCGCATCGGAAACAAAAAAGCGAAAGAATTTGGAACGATGTTTTTACAATAAATTATTTTATTCAGTTCAGTTATACATACAGTCAGTGTCAGTCGGTTAGCGTGTGAATAGTGTCTGTTGCGTGGCTCAAACGAAATAAAAAATGGCACATGTTTATGCGAATCGGTTTCCCAATCGAGTGCAACCAACCCCTCGTGCCTTTGTTAATATAGTACAACGGGCTCGTGAATCAGGTGACTTAAGACCTCACAGGGGACCTCACGATCAAATACAGGTCCGCACTGAAATACTTGTCGGGAGGATACTTTATAAAACAAGGTAAACATTTTTTTTTATTTTTTTTTTATTTTTACACACATATTCTGGTTTATCTTCCTTCTACAATCATTATCTGAAAATTAATGACTCAACTTCAAAGTCACCCTGTATATATATATATATATATATATATGACAAGAACAAGTTAAAAACAGATATATACAGCTGTGTGTATTTTATATAATTTTGACCATTGTACCATTTATCCAGCTTTCACCATGTTACTGGGTGTTTCCCTCATCTTTAACGTAAACAACAATTAGCAACATCCTCACATACTACTGTAAGTTAATTTAAATTCATTTTACACTATTGTTGCTACTGTTATCAATGTAATTGCAGCTCCTGATGATGATGGCAAAGACCATTGAACGCTAGAGAGAATAAAAAAAAGTATAAAGAGTCCTCCTTGCTTAAATTTCGTCGAAGTACCCAACAAAAGGCGGAAGCTTTAATTTTTCACCTAACTGGTCTAGACGACAATGACCACGTCTCAAGTTATATATATATATTTGTTGGATACTTCGACAAAATTTAAGCAAAGAGGACTCTTTATACTTTTTTCTAATTCTCTATATATATATATATATATACAGGGTGGCCCATCCATGTGTGGACGGAATATTACTCATAAACAAATATATTTTGGGAAAATCTATTTATGGCATGTTATACATGACATTTGAAGACACATTTCTAAAATATTGCCGATTATATAGGGTACCCCAATTTCGACCTACATATCAAAGTTGTGATTTTTCAAATGGAATGCCTCAAATTTTATGGCATATTTGGATAAATAAATTCAAAAGAAGAAAATTGATACAACATACTATGGGATTTTGGTAATTACCTACTGAGATATAAGGTGTTTTGTCCAGACAAACCGTCCACTTCGGCAACCCTTCAATCCGCCATTTTGAGTGCTGAGTTTTGTATCAAAAAAACTTTCACACCTCAGCTTTTATCTTATTTGTTACTTTTTCGAATTTTCATTTTTGTTCATACAGGGTGGTCAAAAACGCAAATTGTAGTTTTTCTCAAAAATTTCAAACGCACCACCCTGTAATTTTGTGCACGTTTGGATTCAATTTTTTATATGCTTTTTTTTGGTATAAGGTTTGATTCAGAGAAAGTCACTAGATTCTGAGTTACTAAGCTTTTAATAGAACAACACGTCAAAATTAAGGAAAAAACACTACATCATCTATGGAAACAAAAGGCAAACAGTGGGCTAGTTCCATATTGCCACTAAGAGTACAGATTTGACGTAAAAACTAATATCAGAACAGTATAAATCAGCTTCAAGCATAATAGAGAAAAACAACTATAACAACAACATAAATAAACAACTATCACTACTCAAGACATAATCTACAAAAACTGCTCGAAAATATCTCCACCATGTTAAATACACAGCCATAGTCTTTGGATAAATTACGGTTGCAAATCCCTCAGCATGTGTTCCCTTATGTACAGAAAAGCATCGTTAATCCTTTCCTTCATATTTTCCGGGGTAGTTGGTGGATATCTATAAACCTCTTGCTTAACGTAGCCTCATAGAAAGAAGTCCATCGGTGTCATATCTGATGATCTAGGAGGCCAAGATATAGGCCCATCACGACCGATCCAACGATTATTACTCCAGGTGTCCAAATAGTTACGCACACGATTATGATAATGCGCAGGTGCGTCGTCATGTTGGAAGTACATATGCACCCGAGTTTGCAGGTTGACATCCTCCAAAAGCAAAGACAAATGCTCGATCAAAAAATTCAAGTATTCTATACCTGTTAATCTGTTGTCGAAAAAAAAGGCTCGATAACTTGTCTGCCAATAACTCCTCCCCAAACATGAATCGCTAAAAAGAACCTTATCCAGGAAAGCAGTGTCTTCACTCACTATATTGAGCATTATTCTACTAAACTCCATTCGAGCTGCGAAATCCTAAGGACGAAGGCATTGATGCAAGCATAGGTGATATGGATGGTACCTATGCTTGTGAATAATCCTTTCCTTTGCCTATCAGTATTTGCCGTGCACTTAAATGGGGATGTTCCTGCAACTTTAATAGAACCTCCAACCGATTCGCCTCATTGGTGACACTTGGATTATTTATACATTTTTTACTATATTCTACTGCTCCACTTGATTCAAACCGTAGTCGTAGTCTGGAAAATGTTTCCGGCCTTGGATGTCGCATATTAGGGTACCGTTGCTTATAAATGCGAGATGCTAGGAAACTATTTCTTTGGGCTTCGCCCAAAACGAACAACATTTTCACCAATTCTTCATTAGAAAAATTCATTTTCAAACACGTGTCTATTATAATGCCCACAAAGCTAATTTTGACAGTTTGTAACTAATCAACAATTTATTTGTTTCTAAGGATGATGCGATATTTTAGGGAATCCAGCCGTTCCATAAAAGACGTGGTAATAACCGAAGAAATAGCTGCAAAGGTGTGTCTAGTATCAAAAAAAGCTTATAAAAAATTTAATCCAAACTTGCATAAATATACAGGGTGATGCATTTGAAATTTTTGAGAAAAACTACAATTTGCGTTTTAGACCACGCTGTATGAGGAAAAATTTAAATTCGAAAAGTAACAAATAAGATAAAAGCTGAGGTGTGTAAGTTTTTTTTTGATACAAAATTCAGCACTCCCAATTTCAAAATGGCGAAGTGGGTGCTTTTTCTAGACACAACACCTTAAATCTCAGTAGCTAATTACCATAACCCCATAGTATGTTATATCAATTTCCTTATTTTGAATTGGTTTATCTAAATATGCAATAAAATTTGAGGCATTCCATTTGAAAAATCACAACTTTGACATGTAGGTCGAAATTGGGACACCCTGCATAATGGCCAATATTTTAGAAATGTGCTCTCAAATGTCATGTATAACATCCCATGAATGGCTTTTCCGAAAATGTATTTGTTCATGAATAATATTCCGTCCACACATGGATCCACACATGGATGGGCCACCCTGTATATATATACATATACAGACAGTTAAGTCATCAAATATTGGGAAAATAAATAAATATTTCTCCTGTAGTTTGTTACCCACTGCACAGTCGGCAGACGCGACGATGCAGCATCGCGCCGTCCACGCAACTCCAACGATTGCAGTCATTTCGAATATAATTACATTTAACATATTATTTATTTTCCGTCTGTAACGTCTTTGAATAATACTGAAGATGTTGCATTTACAACCCCCTATCCCCTACAATCCCCGACCCCAAGTTTCAATCTCTGCAAACAAATTTCCGAAAATGATCAGGAGCCTGCGAAACGTCAAAAAACAAGATTTTTATATTGTCATTTGTTGCCTTTAGATCGGCCACCGTTAGACCGATTTTCAACATTGGCATAGTAGAAACCTTGTTTGAAAATTTCATAAAAATGTAGCGGTACTTTTCAGGTTATAAAATTAGATGACCGTCAGACAGACAGACAGACCAACGGAAATGAGTGATATGGTTTTTCGTGATTTAAATGTCACGTAACATCCAACTAACATCAGTCCTCGAAGTTTTGGCGAATACAATACTTCCTCGCCGATTCTTCATAGGAAGTAAAAATGATAAGATTCTGCATATTTGTGGTGTATGAAGTTCGGTAAAGGTTTCTTATTGATTAAAAAACCAAAAGCCCCTACTGCCTCCTGTCTCAGGACTTGTCTCTTGGGTAAATCTAAATAGATACCAAAATCCGACATCAGTTTAACTCTACAACCTACGGGTGGGTCCCAAAAGTATGTTTGCTGTAAACTGTTATGACATAGCTACAGACACACTTGGGATTGAAACACTATTATTACATCTTCCTATGGTCACATGAATTCACAATATTATACCAGAAACTGGTCAGTTACGTAAAAAGTGAGCAAGAATATTTTGCATATGACTATTAAATTCCATGTTTTCTTTAGTATCTTCAGACAGTTGGTCGTGAGCTCGCAGATATAATAACTTCAGATCACGACTTCTTATATAATGTAATTGAATTTGTAGAGTAGAATTAAGTTTTAACCTTGCATTCGTCATAAGGTGTCCAGTTTAATTCCTTAGAAAATCTAATACTCAAGGCATATTTAACGGTCGTATTTGTTTGCGGACGAAATAATTATTTAGATTCGGTAGCTTTTAAATTACATAGCAGTATACAGTCCGTCTTAAAAAAGGCACTTCTACTTATTTATTGAGCGAGACAAGTTAGCAAACTGAAATTTGGGTTGCACATGGCGGCAAGGTGTTTTAAAAATGGACACATTTTTAGGGTTCTAAAATACTCTTTTATTAAGAGCTTCAAATTATCCCCCATTCCATTAAAAAAACGTTTCAAGTTGGTGTTCATATGCCGCTTTTAAGTTTTCAACTGCTACTGTTACGCTATGTTGCTTGATGACATGACCGTTCAGAAAAAAAGTAGGGGGAGAGAAGGGTGCTTGGAAAGCGCTGTATATGTAATACAGGGTGTGGTGCTAAAATTCTAGGATTTGATTCCTGAAGTAATTTTATGAGGATAGTTTATATGAATATATTTTCACCATATCCTACATTTTTTGCTACAGGGTGGTGGAATTTTAAGGAAAACATTTTTTATTTTTTCCTACGAAGGCCCTTTGGATTTTTTTTTAAAATTATATTTTACAAACCATTATTCTAATGCGCCACCAGTGGTCTCCCAGCAGACATGTCTGATGATTCTTTTTGATAAAAAATTGGTACGTTACTGATATTTGTTATAGTGAATATTTCCTCTAGTAAGTCCGTTACCAAAAGGACAAGCGACAAGCGAGCATGAGGTTATCACTCGAGTTTTAATCAACAGTCACGTCCCCATCGTATCAAAAACACTAAAAATTCTCCGAAAACGCGAACACTCACCAAGAACTGTTGTAACACTCCGTTTAATTTTTATGCAATATTCGACTAAAATGCTAAAGGGAATCATGTCGTCTGTCTTGAGGTTTAATTCGGCCACACGAACACGAAGGGATTATCACAAGTTATGTTTGCAGGGTGCAGGGACACAATCATGGATGTCCGCAAGGTTGGAAATCAAAATTTGCATATTCAGCATGAATTTATGTACAATTTCACAAAAAGTTGGATCTTAAAAATTACTTACTTAGCATGATTTTGTGCATAATTTCACAAAAAGTTATTTCTTGGTGATCATCCCCCCTAAGAAAAATTCCTGCGGGCGCCCATGGGCTCAATACCATTAAATTTATTCTAAAATATGTATGCAATTTTAGATCCCCACATGTTATACTAGAATTAGAAATAGTGACACTTATAGTACTTTAACATAAAGATAAATTTGTCTTCATAAAATTATCCCAGGAATCATATTATCCTGTAATATTAGTACGTCACTATTTTGCTTTCATTCTGATGTTTTTTAGGTGCGATGTTTTATGATTCATATGGGCAAGGCTGAAAACCGGAAGATTATAGCAAGATCATTCAACGTACCGGATTATGTATTAACAAATATTTGCATAATATTAAACCCAGTTCCAAACGTCGTGCTGGCGATACCAGAAATCTGAGTCAACGTGTGTTGTCATGGTTAAACGGTTAACTGTCTTCATACTGTCTACATACCATGGAAATATTTGATGTGGATTTTATATTCGCATGTTGCATATCATATATGTGTTTTTTTTCAGTTTTTGTGACCACAACCAACCGTATATATATACAACATTGTCTCTTGTTTTTTAGCAATCATGAGTATGGTATACGTCTAGGTATTGTAGACGTAGGGTGTCGCTAGTACCGCGTTAGGCTTATAGGTGGCAGTGACTCCTTTTCGTATTAAGGGTTCAACTTCAAAAGTTTTATTTTGATCTTCCATGGTCTATACAATTTTTGAGATAACGACGTCTCGATTCATGTGTTATCATCAATCATTGTCAGGTGAACTGAAAAAGCGCCCAGCGAAACGTCGTGATCTCAAAAAGAAGACAATGGAAGTCCGAAACAAAAAATTTTAAACATCCGTATTGTCTACAAATTTTATATTACGGTTAACTGTACGAACTTTACAAGTAACACTGTTTTTTTTTTCAGGAAAACCTGGTGTATGAGGTGTACGAAAGAATGAAGAAGGAAGCGGTTCCTTTGAGTTTTGACCGTCATGTTTACTTTATCAACTTTACTTCTTTTGATAAGCAGCTTCCAGTGTACATTAATCTTATAAGAAACCCTGTGGATAAAGTTATATCAAGGTAAAACCACTGCATATGCTTAACTCACTAGGAGACATCAATAAAATACTTTTCAAATTTTAGGCAAATTATGATAACAAGTACGAGTATTTTTTAGGACATTCTACAAGAGCAAGACAAGATCTTTCTATGAAGACTGTATAACAAGTAATTCAAGCACAAATTGTAACTTCAAGAATGGCAAGACTTATGACCTATCTATACCGTACTTCTGTGGACATCATAAAGAATGCATGTGAGATTTCAATGATCAATTTGTTTTAAACATTATTTGTACTTTTTATGAAAACGAGTGACTTGTGACAAAGTCGATATATTTTTACGTTAAAACAGTCTAATTCCTTGTGAGTAGGTACCTATTACTTTGACTGATTCGAAAATTTGGAGATATGCATATTTTTGCCAGTTACCGATGAAAAACTTTTTCCATTTTTAGGGAGCTGAATAATGACTGGGCGTTGCAAACTGCGAAAAGCAATGTTGAAAAGTATTACTCAGTTGTTGGAGTCTTAGAAAAACTAAACGATACTATGGACGTTATGGAGCGAGAAATTCCGTACTTTTTTAAAGGCGCTAAGAAAATGTATGGTCAACAATTATTTGGTAAGCGATAGTACTCATTATACTAGTGTTGTAGACTTTTCTGTCTGTGCAGTACTGGTGTGTAGATTGGAAAGGTAACACATTGCTTTAAAATAATGCTAAAAAGGGTTTACTAAGATTATTAAAACAGACATCATATCGTCCTTAATTTAAATAACTCGATCAATTTTCTGTTTGCCAACCAACAAATGTGAATATTTTCTCCTCAATGACGATTTTTTATTTTTAGGTATTGGCAGCAATAAATTTGGCCCAAAAGTATCGGATGTTATAAGAAAGAAGCTAAGCGAATCCTTAGCGAAAGAACTTGAATTTTACGAATGGATAAAGGCAAGACTTCAACTACAATTGAAGTTATAATTCCAGCTTAGCTAAGCTATGCTATTATGGGGACCTCCCTAGTATCAAAAGACTGACTCATTTCATTGTGATATAGCTCTCTAATTTTAACCTCAATAAATACAATTTTCACTAATTTAGTTCGTTTTTACCTAATATCTGCAGCCTGGGCTCTACTCGAGGGGTAGTAGAAAAAATTCTACCTAGCAATGAAACAAAAAAGACGTACGATTTTTTTTTGATAATCTAATTTTCAATATAATCAATCCCCCTAGATCAACGCACTTTCGCCATAAAAAAAATGTTTACTTTTAGCCATCATCTGAGTCGAAACAGTGTCCTCGAAGATTTTTCCTCAGTCATCTTGAGCAATAAAAGTTAGATGGAGCCGAGTCCGGACTATAGGGAGGATGGTTTATTCCAAGCTGCTTTCCTACATAATTAGTCGAATTTAGGCAGCCTTATGCACGGTCGTATAGTCATGAAGCAGACACACTCGATTGAAAAAATGAGTCCGTTCTGGTTGATTGATTTACGTAAATCATTCAGCTTTTTGGCATATATTAAATTTCAAGGATGCCCCAAAAAGACTGTTACCATTTATTATCCAGCAGAGGGCTGCGTCTGTGCCTTTTTGGGGTATGGAGGCCCTTTATGAACCCACTGCTTAGATTCCGTTTTAGTCTCAGGATTCCACTGGTACAGCCCGTCGGAATTTGTGTCAAAAAGTTCGTTAATTAAAGCTTCCAAATGTTTTTCTAAAATTCTCAACCTACACAATTTTTCAGCATGAGATAGCTCAAAGCGCCATCTATCGCACCAGAATCGACCATTGTGGATCGCGCATCGCTGCTATTAGTTGGAACTGTCATGGATCTCAGTTCGAGTTTAATAGCCGTGCCGTTAGATGGCTGATGATTCTAGCTGGAAGCTGATGAGTAGAGCTTTGCGCTATCTCATGCTGAAAAATTGTGTAGGTTGGGAATTTCAGAAAAACATTTGGAAGCTTCTGGTGTGATAGATGGCGCTTTGCGTTATAGAGGATCATTGTGATGCTTCCGTTCGTTCGTCCAGAGATGAGACAAATCCTATACCATGCTGATGAGTAGCTAAGAAGCACGAAACAGCCATTCTTTTTTTGGTCGGACGGACGAAAGCATCTTGTTTAATCTGTTTATTCTACCCAATTTTTGTTCAGGTGTCAACAGTCGTGGAACCCACCAGGCTGACACCATACTCATGTTCAAATTGTCGTGCAAGATGGTTATTACGCTCGGTTGTGATATATTCAATGTCATACTGTTCGAGCTCTTTAACACGTTCGCTGCCTACTCAGACTGGATTAACTGTTCCCAATAGCCAAATACTTTTTTTCACCAATCAGACTCATATTGGTATATGTAATCATTTTTAGTTATTTAAATTGGTATCGAATTTTAAAAAAATGTATATTGGTAGAGAAAAAAATTGTCCCCGATCGGAGCCGACGGCATTGAAACCAGGATTATTCGTAGCACTGGTCACGGAAACCGACGACTCCGATAAGAGCTGTCGGCCCATGGCAAAGATCACCCATTGGCTCCGATCGGAGTCATCGGCAGCGAACGTGTTAAATGACGATCTTCAAGAAGCATGGCTTCCACTTTTTGAGTCATTTCATCATTTGTTACTGTTTAGGGTCTTCCACTTCTGGGATCGTCTTATATGGATTAACGCCACCATCGAAACTGTTTCGACCAAAATTTCATTGTGTAATATCATGGTACATCATCCCCATAGACAGCAACCATTCTCTCAAGCATTTTCGGCTGATGGTCCTCTTTTGTATGACATTTTATGACACTGCGATACTCTAACTTTAAGCTACTCATTTTTCCTCATAAGTCACATAATTTGTAAACTAGTTATCAGAGTTATCTCAAATATTGCAAGTGAGGTAAGAACACATGCCACTATTTGATATATACTATGATTTTGTGCGTTGTATTTTTTTTCATGGCGAGGTAAACTTCCTTTGTAGTGCATTTCGTATTTAGAACTAAGAAAAAATACTTCCTTCGTGTATAAACTAAAGAAAACAATATTTCAAAGAGATATTTTCTTTATTGGCCTTAAATAGAAAACAAAACAAAGCGCCTGATGCATCAACAGGTGATGCCTTGGTAGAAAAAGATCATGTCATAGAAATAAAGATGGACATACACAAAAACCAGAGGAAGAATGGATCATTTCTTCTTCGCCTGTTGCAACCCAGCGCCTGCGTTGAATTTGAAGAATATTATGTCTCCGTCTTCAACCACGTAATTTCGACCTTGTTGTCTGAAAAATAAAACTCAGTTTAAACAAGGCGATGAAAAAATAGTGGCACATCCCATTTTGTTCATATTTGCCTAAACTGCTGCAACCCGTATTTTGCTGGCATGGTTTGTAGGATAATATATGGAACAGGAGGAAATATGTATGAGAGTACCACGATTGCATTTAGTTACCGGTGTGCGAAAGGATGGACATGTGCCTTAACCACTTATGCTATTTAATTATTGGTCATGTATTGAGAGCGAGCAGCTTAGCACGGGACTGTGCTATACTGCGCGTTAACACCGTTCCGTACTAAATATGATTTATTCCGTGAGCTGTGTGCTATACAAGGGCTTAGAGCAGCACTAGTGACCACGGTATAAACATGGCTATTGATGTAGCTCAATCACAAAGTAGGAAACAGACACAGCTAATGCAAGCAACTGACAGCTATATGAATGTTGTAAAAATTAAAATCTGACATAACAAGTCGCAATTTGACATGTTCAAAAATGTTCTATTTCCCTGGTACTGCTAGATACACTCTGTTACTGTAAGTCTTATCACTTACATACATTTTGTATTTTTTAATTCACCGGTTGAGCAACCGGTGCCACCGGTGGACCAGACATCCGTCCTTTTAATTCAACCGGTTGCTGCCGTCACCATACAAAGCTGTCAACAGTGTCAACCATAAGCACCGCATCCATCAGTGGTGGAATCAACCGGTGAAATAAAGAATTCACCTGATTATACATATTACAAGACATTGCAGAGACACCGTTGGGCCTCCATTATACATCGAGATAGCGGTGACGGACACCGTACAGGGTTGCCAGATGACACGAATAGAATCAAAGCATATGATATTACACAATATTCAAATCGTATGGATGCTGTTAGGATTGAATGTGTTGTCGTGGCGAAATTGCGTAAACATCTTAGAGTTGAAATTGTTGTTTGGAAGTGGCGAAGCGAAGCGAACGAAATCGGAAGCGACGCGCCAAAAACGTCGTCATATTGTGCGATTTTCCACCAGTTTGGTGGGATTTTTGTACCTTCTCGAGAATTTTTGGTGGGCATAATTTACTAGTGAATTTATTTAGGGGGATTAAAACCTTTGGGTATTTTTTCCGTATCTACTTTCGTTTTCAGCTGTAAGAAACTAGCACATGCAAACAAAAATTTCATCCTTATAGCTTTGTTCAATCACGCCTCGGCAAAACAATTGCTCTCGATCGTGCTGCTATTGATCGGCACCCGTATTACACCCTATTTCACGAGTATCTATCACGGGACAATGTCAGATAGTTATCTAGTAATATTTAAAAATTCCCCATATCTGCACAAGATATATAATTAATTCCGAGGGATCGGTGAACTCCAGGTAGACAGACCCGTATTTTGTTGTGGTTCTTTGTACGATACAGATTCTTTTTGTACTTGCTGACAACTCTTTTATTTAAAAAAATTTCTTTGCATACGAAAGAAACGCTACAAGCACAAAGGTTGCTAATGACCATGACTACATTTCAAGTCAGGTAGGAATAAAATAAGATAAACAGTTTTTGACTATATCAATTATATCTACCTTTTAGAACCTGAAACACCATATGATCTCAAAGGGCAATGAAACAGTTCAGAATGTGTGGCAGTATATAATGACCGAGTTGATACAGGGCCGATTCCCTCAATTAGGTCTGAACATTACTCAGGTAATTCTAAGAAGTAATAAAATAGAAAAATGTAAGTAACTATTGCAAGAAGTCATGAAATGTACACAACTGGGACAATGCAGTGTTCATGAATACAGGCATGGCCTAACTGTTGAGAACTCTGCAAAAATCCAAAGGAAACGCAAGCGTAGTTTATAATGTTTTCAAAGAGAGTAAGATATTCACAAGGATATACCAAGTCAGCAAATTGATGTCACTCCATAATTACATACCGAGGAAACGGGAAATTCCGGGAAGTATATTTTATTTTTATTTTGCTATTTGGGTGATATTATGCATTTGATGTATCACAATATGGCATGGCGGTGGGTCGTTTCCGTATTTTTGGGTGAATGTATTAGTTTTGATGTGATTAGTTATTTGCTATGGATGAATTACGTTACACTGATGACGAACAATAGACCAGAAACACGTGTCTATATTATTTTTACAGGTAAATTTACAGCTTCAGCAAAGGACTAGGCAACCTTGTTCTATTGACATACCATGTAATCAATAAATCCCAGATGTACTCTAACAATTTTCTGATAAACTTTTCTATATCTGTACTTGTACATTTTATTATCACATTTCCAATCCACTTGAAAATATAATTCTGATATGTGAATAACAGCTCTGAATACGGTCCCGAAATCCTTTATTGCCTACGTTACAAATTAACACAAAGATGTCGCTTTTGTGATCAGCTGTTCACCTCAAAGCGTGATGGATACTTGTGAAATGAGGTTTACATAACTTAAAACGCGACATTATATCGATTTTTTTGGCATGGTGTAGGTAAATTTTCCAAAATTGTACACAAAATCATGCTAAATAGGTGAATCTCAAGGTCCAACCGGATTCCCAGGAGAGGTCGCGGCCTCCCCGTGCCACACCCTGCCCCCTCCCCCACAGCGGGCGACCATGCACCTCGGATTATAACGGAGGCCTCATTTATTTCACCGAATTTTTCATCAGAACTGGCAACAGTGGCATCGCCGCTTACCTGTATTTGCCGGCCGCTTTGCACGCCGCCTCAGAGCCCTCTTCCTTGAAATCGATGAACTTCATCACCTCGGCCATTATGAATCCTTTCTCAAAGTCGGTGTGAATTTTGCCGGCAGCTTGTGGTGCTTTGGTGCCTTTCTGAAACGAGATTAGTTCAGATAACGGGCGTACGATGGCTCTGTATGATGTTCATAGCAGTGTACTTTTATATCTGATCTGGTAATCGATCGTTTTGGTACAAGGAGCCTGCGAAAGATGGCCCTATGTTCCTGAAATGATCAATTTACGTAAATTTCGTACATAGAATTTTTAAACAAAGAGATTGCACGGGAATGCTAAGAAATGGTAAATACCTCAATTTTTGGTGACCGTGTACGAGGGTATTTGGCTACACAAATCGTGGAAAATGAGCCAATCAGGAATATAAGCATGATTATATTTAGAAAAAACAGAGTACCTTCACATCCACTCTGGCAAATATTCTAAATTGATTCTTTTATATAATCTTTTTCAACCTTGTCCGGGACGAAAAAGCAAACTCAGGAATTTGTCTAAAAACTGTTTAAACAATGTTTGCATAATTTTCGGCATAGCAACATGTAGATCGGTCGAAAGGGGTCCTTTTGAATCAGAATATGCAAAACACCGAATCAGAGTATGTTCCCTGGACTATATGACATCTGACAAAATGTGTGTCGGTGTGTATTGAGACTCTAGAGAGTTTTTAGTGCTCTTTTGTCACTGTTTCGTCATGGTCTTCCCTATTTCGATTTTGCGCGTTATCGAAATAAGAAAGCTCCGTTAGTTACGGAGAATAGGGGAGGGAGGGCTTATTTCCGAATGTTATATTTTCATAATCCAGCGCTGTTGCCGGAATTTGTAAAGCTGGATAAGCTTGATTTAAAAAGTTCAAATTATAAATACAGATTGGTAAAAAATAATTGGAATACTAGTTTTAAATCACAGATAAATATGAAATCGGCAGTATTCTAAATAAATTGAATCAATCTTGTTTCTGCTATATATATATATATATATATATATATATATATATATATATATATATATATATATATGCCATACTGCAAAGTTTTTGTGGTCACTTGTCCTTTTGTGTTTCTGTGATTCTAAACCTATTCATTTCTTGTCCGGTTTGGAAACCTTTCTATGAAACATTTAAAGAGTACTTTGGGGTTAGCTTTATCTTAAAGTCGAAAAAATACGTAACCTGTCATGAATGTCAGTGGTCATAAAAATTATTTTTTAGTGAACATTCATTACTTGCCGTCGCTGTCAAAAATAATGTAACGGAAGGCTTAACGATTCGTTATTTTTTTTGAACTAAAAACTATCTATTAGGCCTGAAGGTTAGTCCTCTCTGCGTGTGTTTGAGCTAAACGTTACTGTAGAACTAACAACGGAGAACTGCTCCTCTTGAAATTATCCTTAGTTTTTCGTATTCCTTCAGCAAAGCAGCATCGAGAGTCAGAAAGAGCCGAAATACTAACGTTCGATGGCCCGGGGATTGCAGCGACTGTTCGACAACGACGATTCTCATGCAAATTTCGGGAGACAATTTCAGGGCCCAGAGCAATTTATTTACTTTCCCAGTGGCAGTTTAATGGCCTTTTATTTTCTGGAATACGTCCGCGGAATATTCTAATAGAATACTCCGCCAGCATTCTGCTATGTATGTATGTGTGCATTTGAATGGATAATCGGCGGTTGTGCTGCAAGTACAATGGCAAAAAGTTGATTGATGCAGAAAGGAACATTATAAGCTAGTAATATTTGGCAACTCCTCGGCATTGTCTAGGCTTGGTCTCAGGTAATACAACAAACGGAAGCTGATCAGCTATCCTCTATCAAGGTCTATCGAAATAAGACAGCACAAAGTGTCACAAACGTCTTTTTGTTTGGGCGAAGTTTGGCTTAAGCTATTCCTCCATTTAACCTATTCAAAATAAATACAAATATGAATAAAATAGATAAATGATAATATAACAAAAGTATTATGCATATTTAATATAATTACTCTGATAAACGAATAAATACTATTTTGATTAGCAGAAGTTAAAAATAGGTATTTTTAATTTTGGTACTGTAAAAGCAGATTCTTGATATGTTTTTTAAAGTTATCAAATGTCAAACATTTAATTTCAGCGGGTTAATGAATTATGCAGATAGATCGAATTAAAAGAGCTTTTATGGAAAAATGAATGGTAGTGTATTTGGGAAGCGGATATCCCTAGGTTGAACATACGATACGAGTACATATGATTTATTAGCTTTTCCTTTAAATACGGAGGTAATGAGGTAATTTGGAGTTTATGAACATAACAGAGTACATGGTATTTACAAAATTTTGCAATATTCAACCTACGTAGTTTTTGAGAAGGTGTAATGTGGTTGTACTTTTTCAAGTTTTCTACTAATCTACATCAAGAATTTTGAATTTTTTGTAAGCGCTTTATAGATGAATTTAAAAATGAATGGTAAACAAAATCGCAGTATGATTTTTGAAACGATCAATGATTCGCATAGAATTTTCTTAGTTTTGTAGTCTAAAATTTGTTTATTGAGGTATAACTGGCGAAGTACTGAAAAACAACTCTTAGTAATAAGATTAACATGAGGAATGAAATTTGGACATTCGTAAAAAAATATATAAGTGTTTAACTGATTCATGTTCCGGAATAATTTCATCATTCAGAGACATGTTTGTATACTGTTCAACATATTTCCTTAATTGAAAGATCAAGCTGTCTGTTGGAGCTGTTCGTTGTCCTTCCTGAGACCAAGCCTAGTCCATCCTCAAAAGCTATACTACTAGTTTGTCCAATAGCGAGTAGATGGAGTGACCTATAGCACCAGAATCGGCGGCATCTAGCGGCCACAGAAGACAATGCGAACTGGCATACAGTCCCAACAAACAGCTTCATCTTTTCACTTTCGCAGTGGTCGATTCGGGTAAGAGATGTGCTATCTTATTTCGAAGAAACACTGCGAGAAAGTTCACATTTCAAATTTGAATTACGCATCAACCGTGTACGCGAGGAAGAGGTCTTGATCAACGCGTTCGGCGTGCGGGTTAAATAGTCACAATGGAACGTTGGACCGGAGCGCAACATGCTTTTGCTATTAAGAGTGGTGATTCATACGCAGCTGCCCTTCGGAAATTTTGTACACGATAGAACATTCGCGGACTAAGAGATGCCCCAAGTAAGAACCTATTGAAAAAGTGGATTAAGAGGTTCCGTGAAATAGGCTTTACTCTTAGTCAACCCATTCCTAGCTCCACACCTACTATATCGACCGAAGAAAATGTGCGTCGAGTAAGTGATTCGGCCATTGCAAATCCTCGGCGTTCTGTACGGAGGCACTCCGCTGCTTTGGGAAACCCTAGGTCAACGCAGCATGGCTTAATGACGAAAAAAAAAGGGTTTTCATCGTTATAAAATCCAATCAGTCCATGCTTTAAACTTTAAAGGAAAGTAATTACCTATTACGGAAATATTGTGCTGAACGGATGTTGAATCTTTTTCCTACGCAGCGCAGACTCGAGAACTTTGTACTCAGTGACGAGGCCTATTTTCACTTAGATGGTTATATGAACAAGCAAAATTGCAGATATTGGGCACCAAAGAGAAACATCAACAACAGCTACATAGTCGAAAGGTGACTTGTTTGGTGCGCCATATCCGCTAACGGTATTAATGGGCCGTATTTCTTTGAAGATGAAAACGGTCATGCATTGACAGTCAATTCCAAGCGATACAAGAAGATGATTAAAACTTTTTTTGCTTCTATTGTAAGAACAGAACGTCGATTTAACAGAAACACATGGTTTCAACAGGATGGTGCCACTACCCATACTTCCAGAGAACCGATGGACACGGTGGAAGCACTTTTTCGCTAAAAAGTTACATAGAAGTTTGGAGACATTCACTGGCCTCCTAGGTCACCCGACCTCACGCCATGCGATTATTTTTTGTGGGGTTATCTAAAGTGAAAAGCGTATTCCCATAATCCACGAAAACTGGAGGAGCTTAAAGACTTTTGACGAGAAATAAACAACATCGGTCCGGAACTCTGCAAGAGAGCGTTTCAGAATTTGCGCGCGATTAGAAGAGTGTGTCCGAAGGGATGGCAAGCATTTGGACGGAATGATATTTAAGAAATAAAACAAGCCGAATTAGTGATAGTGATAAATATTTTCTTTTCATTAAGTTTGTATTTTTTTCTTAAATCAAAAAGTGAACTTTCCCACTGGACAGTAATTGATTTTCGGCATGAACGTACCCTAATGGTGTCGTCACATTTTTTTTTTGCTGAAAACACTTCTTTAAAGATATAAGCGCATTTAACACGTTAAATGCCAAGCAAAATGTTAAAATGTCCATCAGGCTAAAGCGCCAACGTCATGTTTCCAACAAATAATGTTTCTAATCTACCGTCTAAGTCAAAAGCTGACGCAAGACGGGAACGAGATGTACTGAAAAAAAAAGAAGCAAAATCGCATGAAGTCAGACGGTGTTGTAAAGAATGTTATAAAAAAGTGGTGAAATACCAAAAAATAAGATTCCAAAATTTACTACATATTGTGACAGTTGTGAAGGAAATCCCCTCTTCTGCTTTGACTGTTTCGGAACAAGTCATAAATTATCTTATATTTTGTATCCCTATATCATAACTTATTTTATATACATATGTGCACTTTCACTGGAATCTTGTTTGTTGTTGTCAAAGTCGTTGTGTAGATTTAGTAGGAAATAAATGATGTGAATAAAAAAAATTATTAACTCTAAAACAATAATACAGCAAAAAGTTGGCATATGGGTATAATCCATGCAAGACACAGCGGTCCATATCTAACCCTAAAATGATTTTAAATATGAACCTCTGGTTGGAGTCACCGTGGAAATAAATTAAATACAAAGCGGTCAATACGGACCGCCATGGCGTGATAGGCCCGTTGTCAAGTGGTCCCATGGGACTGCCATGGCGTTTAACTTGTTAAGTCATAATCCTCTTCATTTGTATGAATGAGTAAGTGCTTCAAATATACGTTAATTATATCAAAACGCTGTCCGTATAGGTATAGAAATGGATTTACAAGCACAATGCTCACCATGCATAATCAATCTTTTTGTTGAATATTATTTGCCATGTATGTTAAGATCAACGATTAACGTATTCTATCGAAATAAAACAGCGCAAAGCGCCATCTATCACTTGACTAAAAAAGTAAACATCAGTCTCGCCATAACCCAAAATGATGAAAAAATGCCGCATATTAATAACATTCCGCGGTTTTTAAATCTGTAATAAATTACTAACCTGGATCGTCCACGCCTTTACTTCGTCTGGACCGGCTGTGAAGAAGTACTCTAACTGAAGTGCTTTGTAACCTTGAACGATTATCTTATCAAGAGCACTGAAAAAAAAGAATAACGCTACAACATAATTAGATACATGAGCTTAGCATATCTTAAACGCGTATACATTAATTGTCTACGTATCAATGTACACAATGTGTATACAATGTATACATTGCGTATACAATGAATACAATGCGTATACAATGTATGCAATGATGAAGACAATGTATAGAATAGCATAAGTGACGTTAGGTTTATTCGCAAACGTCAGAAAGTTGGTGAACAGGCAACTTTAAAAAAACATGGTTGGACGCCTCAAGAACAAAGAACTCGATAAACTAGGGTTCAGTTTGTTTAAAAATGGAAAGACATATTCCATAGAGTGTCGTGTTTACAAGACAAAGTATTCCAATTCCGCTACATCTCGATTGAAATCACACAGGTGAGTTAATTTTTGCCGTATCGAACATGCGGCGATCAACGCGCTATTTTACAAATTTCTACTTGAATAATGTAAGCAGTCAAATACTAGAAAAGTTCTTTTGAATTTGTAGGAATATTTGCAGTCAAAACATAGCCCACAATGTAAATAACAAAACTAACAACCGTAATAGGAGCCGAAGTCCAACAATTCACACAGCACAGCAGACCTTTATGATACAGTCGAGTATGAAGTTATGGAGGACGTGGTGTGTGGCGCACTCTTTCTACACAAGTGGTGCCGTGCCCGCTTCTCCTCTCTCTCTCTCTCTCTCTCTCTTCCTCGTACACATGGAAATCTAAAAGGGAAGCGATTTTCGCCAGCACTGTATGCAAATAGTTGAGCTATGATTTGCTATTGTATACATTGTATACATTGCATACGTCCATATGAGACGTTTATATTCACCATTGTATACGCATGTACAATGGTGTATCATATATCATGTATATAATGCGCCCATCACTGCCTTAAACATAATAAGTTAGCATATTCACACAGAAGATGTTTCACAAATAAGTTGAATTTGATTGGATTTGGAATAGTTTCCTGTTATACAGGGTGTCCCAATATTCCGTGGACTTAGAAGTACTACGTATTTTTAAACTCAAAACAAGTCGTTTGGACATGATTTACCTCTATGCAAAAGTGCTCTTTTGTCCATAAGAGGGCGTCAAAGTTTTCTTTTTAAAGTACATTTTTCAGATATTTTTGGAGCCGATATTCCGATCTCAATAAAACTTGGGACATCTGTGTTATGATAGACGTCCTAATATTAGACTTTTTACAAAGAAAAAAAAGGGGAAGGGAGGGATTCGGGAAGGGTGAAAACTAGTAGATCCGTTTACTTACTTCATTTTTGTCTCTTATAAAAAGGAAAAAACGTCTTTCGGAGCTGGTTTCTAAAATTTATTATTAGGTATATAAAGTGTTAATATCTAGAAGGCATCCAGTTGGCGGATATGTGGGATGTTATGTAAGTGTCAGATTATTTTTGAGACAAAGCTTAATAAACTTTAAATTGATAAGTGATGATTGAGTTTATTTTTGATTGTTAAGTTGTTGTTTGTTCTTTATAAATTTTAGTATATATAGTTATTTTTCTCTTATTTTTTTGTAGAGAATAGAGAGATACATTTTTCGATGCAACATTATAACAGAAAACAGTTTCTTCACGCCTCAAATTTAATCAAATATAAGTACTTTGATATAAACAAGACTAATATATTTACAACTAACACTAAAACTCCGAAGATACTGATGAAACAAGTCGCAAAAATGTAACAAAAAACCATTTTTTTACAGCTCGTAATCAAACCAAGTCACACACTCGATGCATCCAGAATTCATGATGAGTAAATGGTGTACTGATACCCCATTTTAAATTTAAAATATACGAACGGACTCAATCATCCGGCTGGCTCATTGATAAATACCCCAAGAGACAAACATACACTATATTTATCCCGCTTTTAAAATTTCCTACTAACGATCGAAAACTACATTTTAACGACTCTAATATAAAGCTCAGATAGAAATCCAATGGCGTAGAAAAACAGATAATAAACTGGGGCGGTAAAGACAAATGTCGCAAATACGAACCTACAAAACGATTTACCTGCCACAGCTATAAAATGCAAAATTCAAATTTCCGCCGATGACACTTTGATTTACACAGGGTGACCAATAATTACCATGACAAACTTAAGGAGAAGGTAGGCTTTGGACTGACCTCGCGATCAACAAAAACTTACCTATATAAAAGTGTCACCGTTTTTGAGATATTGAATTTTTTCTTAATTTTTTTAGCTGCATGTACAAATAAGGTTATACTTTGTTCATTTTTTCTATAAAATACTTCTAGATAGTTGCTTTATTATATACAAAGGCAATGTAGTTAAAAGATATTAAGGAACCATGATCAAATAAGGACTATTTTGGGATTTATAACTTTATAAAGCAACTATCTAGAAGTATTTTATAGAAAAAGTGAACAAAGTATCAACTTATTTGTACATGCAGCTATAGACGACAGATGAAAAGGTTCGTTTTTTTCAAATTTAAGAAAAAATCAATATCTCAAAAACGGTGACACTTTTATATAGGTAAATTTTTGTTATTTGGGAGGTGAGTCCAAAGCCTACCTTCTCCTTAAGTTTGTCGAAGTACTTATTGGACTCGAAATATAAATAATACATAAATGGAGCCTTGAAACTTGCTTCAAAATGGTTAGCATCTAACAAACTCAAATTAAATACTATTAAAACGAACGCTATGTTAATTGGAAAAAACCAACGTACACATGTTCAACTAAACAGTGATCGTGAAGATACTGAATTCATCGAAAATTTTAAACACCTTGAGGTTTTTATTGACTCAATTAAATTTTGATATTCATCATGAGAAAATTATAAACAAGATTAAGTATTAAAGTGGGTACTTATCAGGAGCGTCTGGATGTCTGAGTTCATACAGCAGAGACATTATCTATACCTATAATATCAACATTCTTCCAAATTTCTTGTACTGTTTGTACTGTACTTTTTGAAAGAGTTTACAAAATAAGTGCCTGAGAATAGTACTTGAATGAAGATAAATATACTCCAATTAGACAAGTGATTAGCAAATTAGATTGGCTCAATGCGAAAATTTTTATCAAATATCTTGTAATGATATTCATGTATAAAGTAAAATATAATAAATATATTTCCAGCATGTTTAACTAAATTAAAATCATGAAATGCCGACCATCATTTACATAATAACAGAAATAAAGATGACTCCCATTTAATGTCCAAAAATATATGTTGCAAATCTGTATTCTATCAAGGGTTTATTCAATATAATAAATTAAATGTAGAATACTTTGACAAAATTGAAAGTAAAATTTAGGAATGACATTAAATCTAGAGTTATTATGTTCCGTCGAAGTAAATATTTAGAATACATAACGTAGTTCCCTCGTAGCTCACCAAACCCACGATTTCAAAGTGCGCACGCAGTGAAGGAAAGCGGCAGCGCGCCCCCTACCTTCCTCCTCTCTGGCCGCCTATAAACACTCATTCCTCGTTCTCGTGCCAAACCGTTAACATTCCAATCGGCTTCGCGCACCGTTTTTACGTTTTCAGCAGTGTCGAGGAATCGCTGAACATTTAGAATTAGAGGACAGGACAAAATGTTGGCCGATAGATGTGCATTGACGGCGAGATGCCGACGGACGGTCGTCTTCAACCTTCCTTTCGTCGCGGAGCAAAATTAGAAAGTGGCGTCCAGGCACCTTTTTCTAAAGGGTCATCACCATTAGGTAATTGTCGACTGATCGATCTGTTTTAGGTGCAAGCTAGGTGAATATTAGTATGGATGCCTCATCGGCGTTGCAGACTGTGTCTGACAAGACGTTTGGGATATCGTTGAAACATTGGACTCGGTTGCTTGGGATAGCAATGTGGATCTGGCTTGTGATAGACAGCTCCACACCAAGGACGAAGAAAGACGTTCGGGATAACGTGGAAGTATTGGACTCGGTTGCTTGGGATAGCAACGTGGACCTGGCTTGAGATAGCTCCATACCAAGGATGAACGAAGACATTTGGGATAACTTTGTAACATTGGACTCGGTTGCTTGGGATAGCAACATGGGCTTAGCTTGTGATACTTATCTCCACACCAAGGACGAATGAAGACGTTTGGGATAATGACTCAACACTGAACTCCGTTGCCTGTGATGGTAACTTGTACTTAGCTTGTGATGGCTAAGATCCTACGACAAATATCAACACTGAAAGCGTTTGGGACAACGTAGCAACAAAGCATGGTCAACAAGATCTTCTAATTTGCTTGTGATAGCAAATTTCACCTGGTTTGTGATAACCTTGGAACATGACTGTAAGTTTGAACATGGCAGGTTAGGAAATCGTTAAGGTATATTTTTTTTAATTATCAGATTGTAAGAATGCACATGACAGTTTAGGAAATCGCCGAAGTACCATTATTCATTAACAGATAGAGATTAGGTTCATCTATGGGAGACTAGCGTTACATTTTTCTTGGAATATCCAATTCCACTTGGTTTGTGATAATTATGGAACAAGATTGTAAGAGTGCACATGAGAAGTTAGGAAGCCGCCAAAGTAGCATATTTCATTGATAAACGTTAGAGATTAGGTACACCTATGCGAGACTAGTGTTACATTTTACTTATGATAGCAAATTCCACATGGTTTGTGATAACCATGGAACAGGTATGTAATTATGAACATGTCAGGTTAGGAAACCGTCAATGTATAACTTTTTCTTATTACCAGATAGAGAATAGGCTTTATGCAACTTTAGGGTTACAGTTTGCCTGTGATAGGAAATTCCATCTGGTTTGTGATAACCTTGGAACATGATAGTCCGAATGCACATGACAGTTTAGGAAACCGCTTAAGTACCATTTTTCGTTAATAACAGATAGAGATTAGGTTTCATCTATGCGTTACATTTTGCTTGTGATAGCATAATCTATCTGGTTTGTGATAGCAATGTAGCAATATAGAATTTTTCATTTATATCAAATAATAATTGGGTACTTCT